ATTTTTTTTTTTTTTTTTTTTTTTTTTTTTTTTTTTTTTTTTTTTTTTTTTTTTTTTTTTCCTCTTTTTTTCCTCTTTTTTACCGTCCTTTTATACTAAATATATATATAAATATTCATATTAGAGGAAAGGTTCGTCTTTTTTATTCTTTTTATTTATTTATTTATTTATTTAATTTATTTATTTATTTATTTATTTTATTCTTCTTTATTTATTCTTTTTCTTCTTTATTTATTCTTTCTTTCCTTTTTTTTTCCTCGTCTTTTTATGTAACCATGTACTTTCTTCTTCTTTCTTCTTTTTATTCTTTTTTATTTATATTCTTTTTTTTTGCCTTTTTCTTCTTTTTTTTCTCTTGTCTGTATAAATAATAATTAAATATATTTATTTATTCTTCTTTTTATTACATAATATTATTAATTAAATTGTTTTTCTTCTTATACCCTTAAACCCTAAACCCTAAACCCTAAACCCTAAACCCTCTTTCTTTCTCCCCCTGCGTCATATAAACCCTTCTTTTTCTGCTTTTTTCTCCGCGAATAAAGACAAAACAAACACAATAAATAAATAAATTAATTTAATTTAATTTATTTATTTATTTATTTGTTTATAGGACTCTCTATTTATCCTTTGGTGGCCTTCTTATGTCCTTAGCAGCAGATAAACATGTCATTGGTGATCTTGAATTAGATATGAGGGTTTATCTTCTTGTTAAGAGATCTCCTGATTCATTAATTCATTAATTTAATTAATTAATTAATTAATTAATTAATTAATTAATTAATTTAATTAAATAATTTAAATAAATAAATAAATAAATTATTTATTTATTTATTTATTTTTATCAGGGTTTATCTTCTTGTTAAAAGATCGCCTGATTAATTAATTTAATTAATTAATTTAATTAATTAATTAATTAGATTTATTTATTTATTTATTTATTTTATTTAATTTATTTATTTATAAATTAATAAATAAATGAATAAATAGAAAGATAATAATAATAATTATTATTATTATTATATTCGTTAATCTGCCTATATGCAATTGAGGTGTATGCGCAGCTGCGGTGTCTTTGCATGCACTAAAAAATAAATAAATAAATAAGTATATAGTATTATTTTATTTATTTATTTATTTATTTATTTATTTATTTATTTATTTATTCTTTATTTTATTCCTTTTATTGTCTTCTTTTCTTCCTTATAAGAAAAAAAAACTTTTCTTATAACAATAAACTCTTTTTATCTATTAACTGCTGCCTCTTTTTTTCTTTATTTACCTTAATAATAAATATTATTAATTATAATATATTTATTATAGTATATTTATTAGTATAATGTATTTATTATAATATATTTATTATAATAAATTATATTGTATAAATAGTTCTCCTCTTAGGTATATAGACACATATAGGCATACACACAAACAGAGAAAAGAAATAACAAGAAAAAAAAGGTAATAAATATTGTTATCTTATAGGGACATAAGGGCATAAAAAAAGGGGAATAAAGTTGCCTATTATATATAATAATAATATATATTTTATTCCTTCTTTATAATAAATAAAAAAATAATAAAAAAAGGGAAAAAATATATATAAAAAAGAATGTAGGGTATGCAGTAAATACATAAAAAAAAAGAAAAAAAAAAGAGGATAAGAATAAGAGGTTCTTTTTTTTATATTTAATTCTTTTGTTATTTCTTATAATAATATATTAATAATATATTAATAATAATAATTATTTACTTGTATAAATAATAATTAAAATAAATAATAATTTATTTATATAAATAATAATTTAAATAAATAATAATTTATAATTAAATTTCTTGTTTTCTTTTTTTTTTCTTTTTCCCTCCATTTACTGCATAATTAAGAGAAGTTACTTGAATAAGCTGCATTAGTTGCATAATTAGGATTATTTACTCTTTTTTTTATTCTTATTAATTAATTATTATTATTATTTAAACAAATACTTAATTAAATATGTTTTTTGTTGTTAAAGGAGAAAAAATTCTTTATTTCTTCCTTCCTTCCTCCTCTATTGACCAATGGTCATGGCCTCTAAGGAAAGCAGTTGTCAGTATACAGGAGTTATAATGCATCATTTTTTATTAAATAAAAAGAAATAAAATAAATAAAAAGAAATATAATAAATAAAAAGAAGAAAATAAAGAAATAATCAATTAATTACGTCATAAATATGCAAAAAAAAAGAAAAAAAACCTCTGTGGAGCCACACACAGACTGTTGGTGTTTCTAATTCAGGTGTACGTACACCACAAGAGGAAACAGTAAATTACCTCATGACGTTTCTTTTTTTCTTCTTTTTTTTTCTTTTTCTTCTTTATTTTATATTATTTTATGTGTCATTTATTGTCATTTACCTTTTCTTTTATAGGGTTATCTATATACACCCTAATAAGACACAGCTAAGGGCCCCTTCTTTATCCTTCTCTTCCTGTTATGCATATCATTGATTTCCCTTTGGCGTATATACACCTCAGCGTTATTACCTAGCATAAACAGCAGCAACAACAGCAGCAGCAACAGCAGCAACAGCAACAGCAGCAGCACATCCTTTGCCGCATACAATTTCCTTCTTTCCTCGAGCAGCAAACTGCAACAATGGCGGTGTATTGACACCTCAGCATATACAAACATTTTCTCCTTTAATTCCTTTTATTATTTTATTTATTTATTAAGGAAGACTTCTTATTTCTTTTCTTCTTCTTCCTCTTCTTCTTCCTTCTTTTTCTCTTTTTTTCTCTCCTTAGGTCAACTGTCTGCTGCCGTGCTGCACAATGTCGCAGCCCCAGCCCCAGCAGCAGCAGCAGCAGCAGCAGCAGCAAGAACAGGAGCAGGACCAGCAGCAGGAACCTCAGCAGCATCAGCATATGGAAGCAGGAACTGCTGCATGGTCATCATCATCATCAACAACAGCAGCAGCAACAACAACAACAGCAACAGCAACAGAAACAGCAACAGCAGCAGCAGTAGCAGCAGCAGCAGCAGGAGAATCATGTAAGGGAGGTGAATCCCGTTTGCTGCTGCTTCCTCATTGGTTGCTGCTGCGTATAGGTCGTTATCTAGATGCAATAGATTTGCTGCAGTTAGAGTGTTGCTGCAGCAGCATGCGTGCTGCTGCTGCAGCATGGGATTGTTTATGGTATAAATATATAATAAATAATTTAATTAAAAGACACGCGTGTCTTGCTGCTGCATTAGATATAAATAATAATAAATATAATTGTTCTTGTTATCTAACAGGAGGAGGATGTTTTAATCAATCTCCTGCTGCTGCTGCTGCTGCTATCGATGCTGCATATCATACTCATACTGCTGCTCCTGCTCCTGCTGCTGCTCCTGCTGCTCCTGCTGCTGCTGCTGCTGCTGCTCCTGCTGCTGCTAGACACCCAGGTTCTTTATCTCTAATAAACAGCAGCAGCAGCAGCAGCACCACCACCACCAACAGCAGCAGCAGCAGCAGCAGCAGGAATAATAATTCATTAACATGGCGTATAATATATATACGTATATGTATATTATTAAGGAATATAAGAGGAGGAATAAGCAAGAGAAGAATAATAAAAAAAATAATAAAAAGACCAATAAATAATATAATAGAGGGAAGTATATGTATATTTATTGATAAACTTTTATGGTTTAATGGTATAATTATACAATGTATTTGTCTTAATACTGGTCAAGAATTATGGCATACTTATTTACCACAGCAGCAGCAGCAGCAGCAGCAGCAGCAGCAGCAGCAGCAAGAGCAGCAGCAAGAGCAGCAGCAAGACCAACAGCAGCAACAAGAGCAACTGCAACAAGAACAGCAGCAAGAACAGCAACAGCAGAATCACCAGCACCATGAGGAACTCATAGGGGAGGAGGATATAACAACAACAGCAACAGCAACAGGAACACCTGCTGCTGCTGCTGCTGCTGCTGCTGCTGCTCCTATAAGTAGTATATTATATACTTCTTCCTTTGGTTTATCCCAAGGATGGAGACAACGTAGTCATGTAGTATGCAGCAGCAGCCATGTATTTAGTTATATAGAGGGAAGAATGCATGCATTTTGTTTATTATCTGGTGAATTAATAAGAGAAATAAATTTGGGGCTTTTTTTAACGCATGCAGCAGCAGCAGCAGCAGCAGCACCTATGCCTATAGATGTATGTAATAAAAATAAACAATTTGTATTTATAACAAGAATTAATTCTTATTTTTATGATAGTGAATCTCTTATACCTTTATTTACTATACAACATCTAAATACTCTTTCTTTGCTGCGCATGCAGCAGCAGCAGCAGCAGCAAAGAAGACAATATTGGCTAGGGGAAAGGATACAGGGGCCCCCTATACATCTTGATGATTTCTTTGATTTCTGTTGGGCTGGGGCTGCATGCACAGGTATACATATACATAAACCTATAGACTACCATGAACAGAAGCAGCAACAGCAACAGCAGCAGCAGCAGCAGCAACAGCAGCAGCAGCAGCAGGGAGGAGGAGGAGGAAATTGTGCAGCAAAGGAGAAAGGCTTCTGCGGCTGTTTCTGTCATCTAAATGGTGCAGAAAGAAATGCTGATGCATGCAGAGCTCGAGGTTGCTGGGATGGTTGCAACAGCAGCAGCAGCAGCAGCAGCAGCAGCAGCAGCAGCAGCAGCAGGAGATTATTTGCATCTAGACGCTGCACTGATGACGATATTCATAGCTGCAGATTAAGATGTCGTCATTTAGTAACATGGCACTCAGGAAAGAGTCGTAGATTATTAGTATGGTCTGCTGCTGCTGCTGCTGGTGCTTCTGCTGCTTCTGCTGCTGCTGCTGCTGGTGCATCTGGGGGAGGTACAGGGGCCCCCGCCTCCTCCTCCTTCTCATGGAGGCACTCAGCACGACTCGTATACACCCTAAGAGGGCACGAGCAGCCGCTGCTGCGGGTAAGGCAGCAAACAGACAGCAGAGACCTAAGAGAATATTTTCTTGCTTCCTTGGATACAGGAGGAAATGTAAGGATATGGCATTCTGCTGCTTACCCTCCTAAGGAAACTGCAGCAGCAGCAGCAGCAGCAGCAGCAGCAAGAGCACCAGATACAGATCCAGATATTGCTTCTGAATGGCAACATTATCAACAACATCAGCTGCTGCTGCTGCAGCAGCAAAGGAGGCAAATGCATGCAGATAACAGCAACAGCAGGAGCAGCAGCAGCAGCAGGAGCTCACCAGGTTTCCTATCGGAAATGGAAGATGATGAGGAAGCAGCAGCAGCAGCAACAGCAGCAGAAGCAGCAATTGGCTGTATAGCCATCATACCTTCCTTAGATACTTACTGGATACACCGCATATCTCTCTCTTGCCATGGCCTCCTTACTCTCTGCCGCCGCATCCAGCCACCTCCACAGCAGCAGCAGCAGCAGCAGCAGGGTCAGCAGCAGCAGCAGCAGCAGCTGTCCCAAAGGCCGGAGGTGGGGGAGCACCAGCAGTTGCTGCTGCTGTGGAATTTGCATGCGCCTTCTTTGTCATCTTTAAGGGCTCGCCGCAGGCTTACATCTGCTGCTGCTGCACCTGCTGCTGCTGCTGCTGCTGCTGCTCCTGCTGCTGTATTAAATTGGGACTCCTTAGATCCTCATGCCTTATGGCAGCAGGTGCTGCTGTCGTGGCAGCAAGCAGGAACAGATGGGGAATTATCTCCCTTTATGCATAAGATTGCCTTTGTTCTTCAAGAGAGGCAACATGCTGCTGCTGCTGCTGCTGCTGCTGCTGCCGCTGCCGCTGCTGCTGGTGCTGCTGGTGCTGCTGTTGATGGCAGCACAGCTGCTGCGGTAGATACAAGGATACACACAGACGAACATACAACGTACAAGACGATGGGGATCCAACCACCTCAACACCCCGATGTTCTTTCTTCTGTTGCTGCTGCTGCTGCTGCTGCTGCGTCTCTTCCTGTTGCTGCTGCTGATAATGCAGCAGCTACTAGTGGCGGTTTTAGTGGAGTAACGGATGATCCCGGTGCTGCTGATGCAGCAGCAGCAGCAGCAGCAGCAGCATCAGCTCCTGCTTCTGCTGCTGCTGAATTGGCTACTTCCCCATTGTTTGAGTCAAACACTGAGGGAAGCAGCAGCACCGTTGATGAGGATGCAGAGTCACCATCCTTGCTGCTGCGTCATCAGAGCAGCACAGCAGCAGACAGCAGCAACAGCAGCAGCAACAGTAGCAGCAGTACAACTACTCTTCCCAGCACTAGTACCACCTCCAACAGCATCAACAGCAGCATCAGCAACAGCACCAGCAGCATCAACGGTAGCAACAGCAACAGCAACAACAACAGCAGCAGTACCAGCACCAGCAGCAGCAGCAGCAGCAGCACTAATGAGGGTATACGCCGTTTATCTGTATGCGGTGCTTATATTCTTCCTAAGAGTGCATTTTTTGCTGAATTTGCGGCAAAAAATTTAATTTCTGTTTTATATGGAGAAGATGAATCTCCTTCTTTTTCTTCTTCTTCTCCTCCTCCTCCTTCTTCTTCCTCTCCTCCTCCTTCTTCTTCCTCCTCGTCTTCTCCTCCTCCTCCTCCTCCTCCTCCTTCTTCTTCTTCTTTTTCTTCCTTATTAGGAGTAAATAATTTTCCTCCTCGTACTCCCCATTATAATCCATTTAAGAGAAGTCTTTCTGATTGGCTTGTCTTTGATCTTAATAGAGTACATGAAGAACAAATGGCAGAAAATGCTGCAGCAGCAGCACAAGCTGCTGCTGCTGCTGCTGCTGCTGCTGCTGATACTGATGCTCATGCTGCTGATGCAGAAGCAGCAGAAAGAAACGCACAAAATGGGGAGGGGGAATCGTCACGGGATAGGAGTGGTAACGCTGCGAGTGGTGGAACTGGTGGAGCAGCAGCAACAGCAGCAGAAGCAGCAGCAGCTGATGCTGGTAAGCGGGTGGCTGCTTATGCTTCTGCATCTGCAGCTGGCAGTGGGTCTGTTACTGCTGCTGCTGCTGCTGCTGATGGTTTGTTGGATGATATAGGGGAAGCAGAAACTGCTGCTGCTGCTGCTGAAGTGTATGATGAGGAAGCCGTTGCACGACGGTCAGCTCGCAGCAGCTGGAGGAGAGACACTGCAGCAAAAGAAACAGCAAAAGAAATAAATGAGGGAACAGGTCGTCCTATACAGGCTCCTTATGAGCCTGCAGCAGCACAATGGAGGCAGCAGCAGCAGCAACGAGCAGCAGAAGAAGCAAGAAAAAAGGAGGCAATGAAGTCATATAGGAAAGTTGTTCTCTGCTGGATCGAAAAACAAAGAAGACGCAGATATGCTGCAGCAGCAAAGGCAGCAGCAGAGGCAGCAGAAGTAGCAAGAGCTGCTGCTGCTGGGGAGACAGGTGAGCAGCACACGCAAAAGGCAGCACACACCTCAAGGACTGTGCAAGCGGCTGCACGGGGAACTCTATCCGTTCACCCCAGCAGCAGCAGCAGCAGTAGCAGCAGCAGCAGCAGCAGAAGCACGAACTACAAACGGACAAACTGCAGTGAGAACAACAGAAGCTACATGAGCTCGAGTTCAAGACGGAGAAGCAGAAGTGCATCGAGCAGCAGCAACAGCAGCAGCAGTAGCAGCAGCAGTTGCAAAAGAAGCAGCAGCCTGAGGAGCAGCAGCGGAGAGTATTCTATGGGAGGTCCATCTGACACCACCACCACCACCACCCCATCCTCAACCACCTCCACCAGCCCCACCAGTCCCACCACCACCACCAACAACAACAACAACAACAACAACAATAACAACAATGGCAACAGCGACAACAGCAACAGGAGCAATGACAGCAACAGCAACAGCAACAATGACACCAACAACAGCAACACCACCACCAGCACCAACAGGATCAGCAATGACAGCAGCAGCAGTAGCAGCAGGAGCAGGAGCAATAGTTCAATAGATTCATCAATATCTGTATGGTGGCCTTCTTATGTTCCGTTACAGAATTTACGTCCATTATGGAGTGTTATTTGGTTACGTGAGAAAGCAAATGTTTGGGCATTAATGGATTGGAAAGTTGTTCAACTTTCTCCAACGGGTACACTTATTATTTCTGATTTCTCCCATCCTGATGCTACACCATTATGCCCATTTTCTTGTATTTAATCAATTATTATGCTGCTCTTTTTTATGATTATATAATTGTTCCTGCAGTTTCTCTTTTTTGCTACTGCTAATGTTGGTTGTGCCTGTGGTAGTGGGCTTGTTTTTTCGGTTATGATTACTGATTTTTTATACGGAGAATTCGGGTACAGAGGAGGGGGTTATAGCAAATGCTGCATATGTTGCTGCTGCTGGTGTTGCTATTGATGCCGCTGATTATAATGATAATGCTGAGGAGGCGACAGCAGCAGCACCAGCAGCAGCAGCGGCAGCCTACTGCCGTTGAATTTCATGCTGCTGCTGATGCTGCAGCAGTACGGCAAAAGGGGTCCTTTTTTTGTGTTTAAAAGAAGGAAAAAGAGGAGCCAATTAGACTTATTTCTTTGTAAGAACAATTAGGGTGTATCCGCAGTTGTGTCCCTATTAAAGAAAAAATTACTAGAGAAAGAAAGAAGGAATAACCTAACACGCGTACGCACGCAGCAATAATTATTATTCTTATCTGTACTACACACTTTATTCATTATTCATCTTATTCAATTGATCCAAGTACAATAACTATTATAATTAGTACATTTATAATAATAAAGAAATTTAAATAAGCAAAGATATGTCTTATAAACACACATTACGAGTACAAAACAATACAAGACGCCCGCAGAGTTTGTTCGTTGCTCGTTCTGCTGCTGTTGTGCATGCAAGAACGGGAGCAAGATCATTTGCTGGCTCTGCTGCAGCAAGAGCAGCAACAAGAACAGCTGCTGCTCCTGTTGTAGCAGCTGCAGCAGCAGACAGCAGCAACAGCAGCACAGTTTATGCCTCGCGCTTGCTGCTGCCTTCCTCTAAGTTGCTAGGGAAATGCAAGAACTCCTGTCCCCCCATATAAGGAATAAGAGCCCTAGGGACCTTAACACCTGTAGGTGTTTGGTAATTCTCTAGTATACAGCACATACATCTTTGTGTAGCAACAAGAGTAGCATTAAGTAGATGTACGAAAGGTTTGCTGTCAGCAGTAGCAGCAGATCCTGCTGCAGCAGTTCCTTCTTTCTTTTGTCCAAGACGTATTTCAAATTCCCTAGATTGATAATCTGTACAATTACTACAAGAAACTAATTCTCTATAATCATTATAACCAGGGAACCATGCCTCTAAATCATATTTCTTTGCTGCTGCATCATTAAGTGCACCAGACACAATAGATACAACTCTATAAGGAAGCTCAAGACTCTGATAGAATTCTTCTGCTGTAGCAATCATTTCTTCATGCATTTCCCATGATTTTTCGGGTGTAGCGACACAAAATTGTTCAACTTTTTCAAATTGATGGACACGAAATATTCCCCAACAATCCTTACCATGAGCACCAGCTTCCTTACGGAAGCAAGTGCTGCTTCCTGCATAACGAAGAGGGAGTTGCTTCTCTTCTAATCTCTCATGCATATGTAGTGCGCATAATGGCTGCTCGCTTGTAGCAATCATAAAGAGGTCATCACGATCTGCATCCTGTTGCTGCTGGGCTGCGCCCTTGCCACCCTCCTTACCCTTCTGCTGCTGCTGCTGTTGTTGGTGCTGCTGTTGCGAGTTGTCGTGGGGTATGCGGTAAAGGGTTTCCTCGAAATCCTTCAGCTCTGCTGCTGCACCCATGATAGACTTCTTCATGAAGTAAGGAGGCTGCACAGGCAAATATCCCTTCTTCATGAGGAAGCTAAGACCGTATTGAATAAGGGCATAGTTAAGCATAACTGCGGGGCCCTTAAGATAATATCCTCTATGGCCAGCAACCTCAACACCTTTCTTGAAGTCAACACCCTCTAGGCGAGCTAACACCTCATGGTGATGCAGCTTACCCGGGGTACCATCAACAACCATCCTGTTGGGTGTTCCCCATGTTCTTACAACCTTATTATTTGCTTCATCATTGCTAACAGGCACGGAATCATGCACGAGGTTACCTATACCTCGTAGCAAACGATCGCGGGTCTGTGCAGCCTCTGCAGCCTGAGCCTCAAGGGTTTGCAGCCTCTGCTTAATTTCTGCCGTCTTTGCAACAAGTTCCTCACAAGGACTCTTTGGATCTGCTTTCTTACGCTGTCCTATTTCCTTATTCACAGCGTTCAAGTCCTTTCTCCCTTGCTCCATGTTGTACGTTGCCTCACGCCATTTCTTGTCCGCTCCTATCAGCTGATCTACAACGGATGGATCGCGACCTCGCCGTTTTTCGCTCTCTGCTACTTTCGCAGGGCAACCGCCCTTCTCCTCCCGCAACAAATTAATGTCGATAGTCATCTTCTGCGTACGCAAAGACACACCGCAACGCAACACTCCCAACAAATTCAACTTTGGTAAACCGGAAGGAACGGAATTCTGCCGTAAGAATAACCACCTAAAGGCGATTTTGTTCAACGAAAAGCAATATCTGCGACTCGCAAAAAGGTAAAAATAGGTAAAACAACCACTAGCCGACCGCCAACAGTCAAGAAACGACCGTAATCCTGTAGCGTCCTAAGGGGCCTTAGCTAGATGGTTCAGAGCCAACATGTACTTACGAATAAAAAAAGGTGTAAATTGACGGGGAAAATCGATTATGTTTCCTTTGAACTCAAAGAAACAATAGGTGAACTTGTGTTCTCATGCTCCTGCTGACGCGCATGCACACGCCCTTGCCACCAGGCCTGGGTGCCACTTGGTACCCCACGAACAGAAAATTGAAAATGAAGACTTAAACAGACAAGAATAAATTAATAAATTTGATTATGTCATCCTAAGTGGTATCCCCCAGACAAAGACAGCCGCCGCCGTAAGTAACTGCTGACGAGCCCCGTTCGCGTGCCAGGATGGTTTGGAAGGAAACTGATAGTGAAAATAGAACTTTTTTCCTTTACCAGTAGCAAAAAAATAAGTTAAATTACATTTTTGCCTTCTTAGACCTTGAAAACTACTGGATCGTGCTCAGAACGAACAACGAACCAGCGATAGAAGCGCAAAGACGAACCTCATTTTCGCGCGGGGCTGGCTATGTATGAACGGCCACGCTGAAACAGCAGCAGCCCCCCCACACAGTGACTTGCTGCTGCAGTGCCTGTGTAGACCCTTCGTATTTCTCTTTTTCCTGCATTTTTGGAGTTTAAATAATTGGAAACTGCCAAGATGAAGGTATACAAGTGCATCTTCTCTGGGGATGAGCTCTGCTCGGACTCTTACCCCCATCTTGTGCCTTTCGGGGACGACTCGTTCAAGGATGGTAAGTTTCCGCCCTCTGATTGTTCCTCTCAATTTATTGCACTTTTCATTGTTTTCAAAAGTTCCACTATTTTTGATTCTTTTCCCGCATGCGCAAAGTAGACGTCCAGTGGAGGCGCCCGTCTGCGCAGCTTTGTTCGCCTTGGGACAGCATCAGGTGCCTGGGACGGAGGCGACGTCGGCCGACCTTAAAACGTAGAAAATGTTGCAAAATTCAATAAATGCAATATTTGGTCATTGAATTTGCGTGTAGTATATATCAATGGCTTTGCTCATGGTTTTTGTATGCCTGCTGAAACTGGAAATGGATGCTTTTGCAGCATATCTCAGTGTGACATGCCTGTGTATTTCCCCATCATATCCAGCCAAAGGCAGTTAGAAAGCAACCTAATTGCATTAAAACAAATACATAATTATACTGAAACTTCCTTTTTATGCATGTTTGCCCGCAGTTGCCTTCGAGGTCAAGGGGAGCCGTGTGACTAAGGCCGCTGAGGACTTTGGCATTGCCGACAACAGGTTCGTTTGTACTGATTAAGTTTTAAATACACTGAAATGGTTTTGAAAGTTGCGGAAGTTTTAATGGAGGAGGGTGGTATATTTAGTTTTTTGTTGTTGCGTGTTGTGTTGTGGGTTGTGCTGTGGTCTTCTCATTGGTTTCTTTCTCACATTGCTGATTGCTTACGTCTTCTTGTGTTGAATTCAGCGAGGAAGGAGAGGGAGGCGTTGAGGATGCTGCTGAGACGGTTATTGACATTGTGAGCTCCTTCAACCTGAGCGAAACTTCTCTGACAAAGAAGGACTTCACCACCTACATCAAGGGATATTTGAAGCGGGTGATTGAATATTTGCAAGAAAACAATCCATCCCGTGTTGATTCATTTAAGACAGAATCTGCTGCTCTTGTTAAGAAGATCCTCGGCAGCTTTGACGACTATCAGTTCTACATGTCGGAAAGCAACGATTTCGAGGCCTCTCTTGTCTATGCTTACTACAAGGACGAGGAAACCGCCCCTAGATTCATCTATTTGAAGGACGGACTTAAGGAGGAGAAGTACTAAATGAGGAAGGATCCTGAGGTGTCCAATTGCCTCCCCTTATCCTCACGCATTACTTTAATTGCAATGGAAAGTAGAACTGCCATTGTTCTTTTGTTGAAGGGCCACAGAAAGAATTCGTTGCCCCTAGAGGCATTTAAACAGGGCTGAGCGTCTTCTGCATCTGTATTTATTATCTGTGGCCCATTGTTGGCTCTTTACGTACCCTTTGGGGTGTTGTAAAGACACCTGAACTGAGGAGTTATTCTTTCTCAGTCCGGCTTAAATGCAAGGCCTGTATTCATATCCCTTTTTCGCCGCTCTTCACGAGCGGGCAAGCCTGGGGCCAACAGGGGAAACTAGAAAACGCCTTTGGGGCTTTCATGGCGCAACGATCTGAACGCTCTTACTAAACCCTACGAGGGAGAAACCCCGAACCCTAGGTCGATAAACCCTCAAATTTGCGACTCACTACAGCAGATTAGAAATATATAGTTTAGGCAGTAAATACAAAGGAGGAACAGTGTCAATCTGTCGCTTCACTGGATGAATACGGAAAGAACGCCCCAAATTATGCCTGCATGCATGCAGGAAGCATTTGCTTATATGCAAACATCGTTGGGGCTGGTGTTACATGCATGCATCCATGCACGCATGCGCACACAAATTCTACCGGCTCTTACTCAATTAGCGTGTTTCCATGCAGTTCGGGAGCAGCGGTTCAACTGGAAGGCGTTTGCTACTACTCGAACGAGCACTATCGCGTGTCCTGCTGCTGTTACTGCTGGTGGTGCTGTTGTTGGTGTTGTAAGGCGCAAATGCCTCGGGTTCTGCGGAGTGTCCGCGTGTGTTGGGAATCTTGTAGAATTCTCCTAAGACAGCAGCTGCTGTGTCACGACCCTTGCTTATGCCTAAGCTGTCTGTTAACCGCAAGTCAGAGGAAAGGCGGGTGTAGCTGAAAATAGATGCAACTGCAATTTGAGTTGTCTCGGCGTTCTTGTCAGCCTCCTCCTCCTCCGTTGCTCCTGATGAGTGCTTCAATGGAGAGGACCACTGGACCACTTTGCTGCAGTTCGTTGGACTATTAGCAGACGGCTGTCTCGAAAGACCCAACGACTTCGTTGCTCGGAAACTTCCTTGAACTGTTGAAGACAATGAGGTAGGAAAGCCTTGATTTGACCGACAGGAGCTGCTTAGTTTGCCTTCAGATACATCCGCTGCTGCTGCAGCAGAGCGGGAGGAGCTGCTTAGTTTGTGTTCAGATGCATCTGCTGCTGCTGCAGCAGAGCGGGAGGAGCTGCTTAGTTTGCGTTCATATATATCTGCTGCTGAACCAGCAGAGCGGGAGGAGCTGCTTAGTTTGCGTTCACATACACCTGCTGCTGCTGAGGCAGAAGAGCGGGAGGAGCTGCTTAGTTTGTGTTCAGATGCATCTGCTGCTGCTGCAGCAGAGCGGGAGGAGCTGCAATCAAACGTAAGTATATATAGACGACGACTGGCAGCAGAGCGGGAGGAGCTGCTTAGTTTGCGTTCACATACACCTGCTGCTGCTGAGGCAGAAGAGCGGGAGGAGCTGCTTAGTTTGTGTTCAGATACATCTGCTGCTGCTGCAGCAGAGCGGGAGGAGCTGCTTAGTTTGTGTTCATATATATCTGCTGCTGAGGCAGCAGAGCGGGAGGAGCTGCTGAGTTTGCGTTCACATACACCTGCTGCTGAGGCAGAAGATCGGGAGGAGCTGCTTAGTTTGCATTCATATATATCTGCTGCTGAGGCAGCAGAGCGGGAGGAGCTGCTTAGTTTGCGTTCACATACACCTGCTGCTTCCGCACCAGCAGAGCGGGAGGAGCTGCTTAGTTTGTGTTCATATATATCTGCTGCTGAGGCAGAAGATCGGGAGGAGCTGCTTAGTTTGCGTTCACATACACCTGCTGCTGCTGCTGAGGCAGCAGAGCGGGAGGAGCTGCTTAGTTTGTGTTCAGATACATCTGCTGCTTCCGCACCAGCAGAGCGGGAGGAGCTGCTTAGTTTGCGTTCATATATATCTGCTGCTGAGGCAGAAGATCGGGAGGAGCTGCTTAGTTTGCGTTCACATACACCTGCTGCTGCTGCTGAGGCAGAAGAGCGGGAGGAGCTGCTGAGTTTATGTTCAGATACATCTGCTGCTGTTGCAGCAGCAGAGCGGGAGGAGCTGCTTAGTTTGCGTTCATATACATCTGCTGCTGCTGCTACTGCTGCAGACGCAGCAGCAGCAGCAGATGTTCCTGACAAAGACGATCTTTTAACCTTTTCAGCAGGCTCCGCAACCCCACTGCCAGTGCTTCTGTGCGAGACGGAAAGGCGCAGCGAACTGTCAGAATTCGTTTTGGAGAAGCTCCCGGAACTATGTAATGACTGCCGAGACTGCTGTTTCTGCTGCTGCTGCTGCTGCTGGTCGTCTTGATGCTGCTGTTGCTGCTCTTGCTGCCGCGACGGGAAGAGGCCCTGGGACTTGGTGGCGCGGAAACTGCCTTGCACCGTCGAAGACAAGCTGGCTGTGCCGTTGCTCTTGGTACTGCTGCAGGGACGGCTTGGGCAGCTGTGTCTGCTGCTGACACTGTTCAGAGAAGCAGAAAGAGATCTATTACTTCTACTAAGGGAGAGAGAAGTTGAGGCGGAATGAGAAGAAGAAGTGGAAAGTGCCGTGCTGGCTTGGTCCCCACGGGGAGGCAGCAGGCGCTGGTTAAGGGATTCCCTTGGCCCGAAAACCATGGGGAACAGCAGCAGGAAAATACAACTTTATCTCTCCCTTCCGTTGTTTCTACTGTATCTCCTTCTCTGTAGAAGTTGTCTGTCAGTTCTTCTGTTTATGAAAATGGTATCGTGCGTATAACGGGGATACAAAAGCCCTCCGCTTAGGCGTTTTAGGCTGCCAATGGCTGGAAAAATGACTCAAAGAAAGACTTGAATTACGTTAGAAGAAAGAAGATAGACAAAAAACCTGCTACAGTAGCAACAGGAGTCAACACCTGTAACCAATTCCATGACGGAGTGGTCCGCTGGTTGTGGGGGGAGAACGTTCGAGTAAGAACAACTCGACGACTTGTGAAAGATCAAAAAGACTGCAATTTCAATGATTGGTAAGCTTAATGAGCTGTGATGACAGCAGCTGTTCTGCAGCAAACGATAGACAGCCGCCCGCAGAGCCCTGCAGAGCAGGCAGGTGACCGGACCCTCTCCTAGGGTAATAGAGGCGAGTTATGTCTTGAGTCTGTTTTTAGTTGCACATAAAGAGGTTTGCGAAAAATAACAAAATATCAATTTACTCTTATACGAGAACATTAGTTGCCATATGAAAAAATAAATAGGTCTAATTTGCTAGACGCGCTGTGCTCAAACTACAACTCTCGGTTCTATGGTGTAGTGGTTAGCACTGCGGACTCTGAATCCGCCGACCTGGGTTCAAATCCCAGTAGGACCTTCCCTTTTAAACTTCTTTTGATTCTGTTCTATTACTCTCAATATTAAAAATTGTTGTAGTTATTACTACTCCCTTTATTATTCCTTTATTAATCAACTACATGCTGTTGTAAAGAGAATAGAGAGGCGGCTGAAAGTAGAAGGGTTTGCCTCAAGAAACAGCTTTATAGACGCGTTGGGACTCACACTCAAAGACAGCTTTCTGCAAATACGTTTAATTTGTCTTTAAAGAAAGATATATTGGAGACAGATGCCTGCGAATATGTTTAACGGAGAGAAAGAATATCTATCTTAATAATGACCATAGAAACTATAGCAGCCGTACCAGTACTGTTCCTACTTTGTCATGTAGTTACCAGAGAGTCCCTGCTACTTCATTAGCAATAATTATGACAATAAAACTTTCATGACAACCACGAAAAGAGGTCCTACTGGGATTTGAACCCAGGTCGGCGGATTCAGAGTCCGCAGTGCTAACCACTACACCATAGAACCGATGGTGGTCCACTTCTATGGCGAGACGAGTAAAGAGATTCTATTCACTGTATTCAGGTTCAGATAATATAGTTAGAAGGATTGATTTAGGTCTTTAGCATCAGAAGACACATCTGCTGGCGTGCTCCTCTTCTTATTGGAAACACGTAGTAGGCGTATACGCATTTTATTCATATTGTTGACCACGGGCGACTCTCAGAGAGGTAAGGGGCCTTGGAGGCCCACCAACAAACCCAATTGTAAGGCTTTAGAGAGGCATCCAGTGGGAGGCCCAGGTGGGGTTGAGGGTCCCCCTATCACGGTTCTGCTACAGACGCATCACCACTGCAGCAGGCTCTGTTCGGTCTGCAGACGATATTGTAGAGAGCAACCGATCGGATATCTGCAAAAGACAGAATAGGAGGAGAGCACATTTTGCGTGTTTAAGGGTTTATGGTGTATGACGAATAGTCAGCATTGTAGACAGCCGCAAAAGAGATAAGGGGAAGAGAAGAAGAACAGAAACAACACTAGCAAGCCCTACATACCTGCAGGCCCTTTCTGTCTTCGCCCACAAAATATGAGATTAGCTCTTCGCTTTCTTTGCTGCTCCAGAAGGCTTCATTGCAGAGGCAAATATACGCCGACCTGTTGCTGCTGCTGCTGCTTCCCGTGTAGACTTGTGACATCCGAACGGCTTCTTCTCCTTCCGCTGCGCAGCAGCCATACACCCCCCATATAAGCACGGAAATACGGCCCAACGCACGCACAGGCCCCCAATGCTCTCATCAGTTTGTCTACTTTCTGTTCTTTCTGCTGTGGGGCCCCACTCACTAGCGGCTGTTACATCAACTTCAACACGACGAGGAGAGTTAAGGAGATCCTGCAGGGAGTCGATGCAAACAGCAACTCTTGACGGTGTTGGTTTGACAGGCTACCTCTTTATTACAATACGCAGGTATATAAACTCAATTTATGTCTGTATATCTATATATGTGTCTGTTTCTCTAAGCTAAAGAAATATAATTATATGTAGGGTTTGTTTGTAGACATAGACTGGCTTCTAAACCCACTTGTGGGAGTACCATCAGCTGGCAATTTCCTTTCTGTTTCCAATATATGCAGTGGCGGCAGCAAACGCTCTCGCCTCCTGTTGTTTCCTGTTGGTGGAGGCCCTCTCCAACTCGAGTTGAGGGGGCGCCTTGGAGGTTTGGAGAATCCACGACAACGGCCACGGCCAGACCTGCCTGTTTCTTCTCCTCTTTACCCAGCTTCTTCAGAGCCTGAGCAACAACAACATACACACAGAGGTGCTGTTGTTGGTGCTGCTCTTAATGCTTGCATCATGTGACGGCAGGGACGGGCAAGAAAGATAATTCGGGGGGAAGTAATGACACAACACACAGACACATGAAAGGAATACAGAAGTAGGGAGACAGAAAGATGTAGGAAGAAAACGGCAAGGGCACAAAAAAGAAAAGCAAGAAGGAAGGGAAAAGAAGGAAAGAAAGAGACAAAAAGGAAATTGGTCTACTGCTGCCGTTGCCTACCCTTTGCAGTGCTGCTTCGATGGCTCTTTCCGGAGTTCTTCGTGCCCTCAACTCCGCCAACAGCCAAACTGCATTACACCCAACAAAACGATTTAATGCCATCAGGCGCATCAACGACAGGCCCTTTAAGGAAGCCAGGGGCCATCTGCTGCTGCTGCTGCTGCTGCTGCAGCGGCCGCTCCCCAGATGAACGCTGCTAAATCTGAGACCCGTATGCAACGACTGGCCACAGCAGCACCAGCAGCAGCAGGGGGCAGCTTACTTGCAGCTTCGGCGTGCGGTGCCCCCTTTGATGGAGGGCCCCCAGTGAGCCCTTGACAAAGGAGAAGGACGCGAAACCCTGGGGCCCTGTACGTACATCACAAACAGCCAGAGCAGCAGCGGTGCGATGCAGAGGAGTTAATTGGTGTTTAAGCTGAACAATACCTCAAAAAGAGGGCATCAAGAAAAAGAACAAACCCTGTATTATATAACAATAAGAAGGAACAAACGCTTAAGGAAAGAAAGCAAAAAAAAAGAGAAACTATCAAAGGGGCAAACAAAACAAATCCCTTAACAGATACCAAGCAGTAATAAGGGATAACAGAAAGAAGATAAAAAATGGCCATATGAGAGATACCAAGAAGAGCAGCCGGATAAACTGGAGAAAAACCAACTTCTTAGAGAGAATATGTCTGTACTCACTGGCAGATAAAGACACCCTGCTGCGTTTTATTGCCATTGCTGTCTTGAGGGTCAAGCAGATACGTCCATAGCTCCATGCTGCTACTGCTGCTCAGGGCCTCCTCTAAAGAAGGAAAACCGCAAATATTGTTGCTTTTTTGCGCCTCCCCGGCGGATTCCGCGGGGGACCCCTCACTGTTGGGGTCTGTAGCGGACGATGCCCCCAGCGGGGACTCAAGGGGGCCCTCCGAGGGCCCCTGTGGAGGCACACTCCACAGGGCCCATTGCACGTGTAGGCGCTCCAGATTGCGAGAGGTGCAGAATTGCTTTAATGCAGGGGCCCCAGTCCTTGTGTCTTGCGTCTTTACAGAGGCCCTCTCAACAGTCTCTTGGGTTTGAGTATCACTTCCTACTGGACGGTGCGGTGCAACAACGGAAGAGGAGACGGAAGGGCCCCTCCCTACCTCAGCACGCGGAGAGAAGGGCCCAGATGGGGCTCCAGAAGTCTCCAGATGCGCGCCCCAACCACTACTGGAGTCAGTGTAGTCTGATCCGTTTACGTGCACCTCAGGTGCGGGGTTTGGTTGGGGTCCCACAGCCTCTTTGGGGACCCCAGGGAGCCCCTCTTCAACGCTGCCGCTGCAAGCACGGACAAAACCTGATGCTATCAAGAGGTTCGGCCGCGTGCATGTGTTGCTGGTTGCTGAGCTGCTGTCCCGAAGCTGCCTCTCTGCTGTAGCCGGGAGAGTGGTGACTTGGATGGGGCCCCCTGCCTGGGGAGCTTCGCGGGGGGGCTCGTCCGATGAGGGCAACAGCTCTGGTGCCGCATAACTCAACAGCTCTGTTTGGGTGCTGCTGGACACCATAGTGCTCTGCACTCTGTCAGGAAGGGCCCCCCTGTTACTATGAGGTGCGTCAGGAGCGGTCCCCCTGTTCCTCAGTTGCCTGTCACAAGAGACCTCTCTGTTCCTCTGTTGTCTGTCACGAGGGGCCTCCCTGTTCCTCTGTTGTCTTTCTTCGCGTAGTGAAGCTGCTGATTCTTCCAAGTTGTTGCGGGTCCTGTCTTTCTCTTCTTTGCAATCTCCTCCTACGCTGTCTCTATTTTTAAGTTTTCTCCTTTCCTCCTCAAGGGGCATTTTGTCCGTTAAAGGGTGACGAGTCAGTGTGTAAGGGGGCCTCCTTGAGTACAAACAAGAAGAAGGGGTCCTGTGGGGCGCCCCTTCTGTGGGCCCCAATGTGTTGAGAGCTGCCAGCGTCAGGCGGGGGACTCCCGTGGACACTCCACATAAGCTGCTCGTGCTGCTGCTATCTTCCTGTGTCTCTGCTTCTCCTGCTTCTGCTGGTGCTACAACAGAAGCACAGCTTCGCGGGCTGGAAGCCACCGGATTTTCACCTGGTGCATAGGGCCCAGCCACTGCTGTCGTGGCTGCTGCTTCTGCTGCTGCTGCTGTTCCTTCGGCTCTAAGCAGAACATCCCTTTCTCTTTTGGACGCGCTGCAAGGAGGAGGCCGCTTGGTTGTCTCCTCGCTACCGCAGCACCTGCTCGGTTGACTCCAGGGCCCAGGGCCCTGTGCTGTACGCGAGGCGGCATAGGGGCCCCGGTGGGGAGAAATGGCTTCTTGCGGGCCCCCAGGGGTGGGAGGCCCGTTGTAGAGGCCCTCAGAATTCAGGATGGAGGTAAGGGTTTGCAGACGCCTCAGAATGCGCCCCCCAATTGCTGATGGACTCTCCAGGAGACAGTCTCCCGGGCTGCTACAGTCTGCAGCGGCAATCTCTGTTGCAGTTGGTGTAGCTGCTGCTACAGCAGTAGCTGTAGAAGAGACAGCAGCGGAAGACAGAAGCCCCTCTACTTCGATTTTACCATTCGTCTGCTGCAGCACCGCCTCCTCATCTACAGGAGGCCCTACCGGGGCCTCAAAGTCTTGACTCGGCTGTGAGGGCATCGAAGGCGACGGGAAGAAGCAAGAAGGAAGTACTTCTTGTGAGGAACAAACACCACTATGCAGTTCAGGAGGAAGGCCTTCTTGGCAGGGGCTGCTGCAGGCAGACGCGCTCTCCTTGGTGACCTCACTGACATCCTTAGGAGGATGGGTGCAGCAGCAAATGGTGTCACCACTACTGATGCTGTTGTTGTTGTTGTTGTTGATGTTGTTGTTGTTGTTGTTGCTGCTGCTGCTGCTGATGTGGGGCAAAATCGCGTACCGGGCCGTGCTGCAGGTGCTCTGGCGTGAGTTGATGTCTCTCCCTATTGTTTGGGGGCCTGCCCGCAGTGGCGTCTGAAGCTGTTGCTGCTGGAGCTGTTGCGGTTGATGCTGCTGCTGTTGCTGAAGCTGCTTATGCTGCTGCGGGAGCTGCTGGTGCTGCGGCTGCTGCTGCTTCGGGAGCTGCTGCTGTTGCGGAAGCTGCTGCTGTTGCGGAAGCTGCTGCTGTTGCGGAAGCTGGTGCTTCTGCTGGACCTGGTGCTGCTGCGGGAGCCGGTGCTGCTGCGGGAGCTGGTACTGTTGCGGGAGCTGCTGCTGCTGCGGGAGTTGCTGTTGTGGGAGTTGTTGCTGTTGCGGGAGCTGCTGCTGTTGCGGGAGCTGCTGCTGTTGAGGGTGCTGTTGCGGGAGCTGCAGCTGTTGCGGAAGCTGCAGCTGTTGCGGAAGCTGGTGTTTCTGCTGGACCTGGTGCTGCTGCGGGAGCTGGTGCTGCTGTGGGAGTTGCTGCTGTGGGAGTTGCTGCTGCTGCGGGTGCTGGTGATCCTGCGGGAGTTGCTGCTGCTGCGGGAGCTGGTGATCCTGCGGGAGTTGGTGCTCTTGCAGGAGTTGTTGCTGCTGCGGGAGTTGCTGCTGCTGTGGGAATTGCTGTTGCTGCGGGAGTTGTTGCTGCTGCGGGAGTTGCTGCTGCTGTGGGAATTGCTGCTGCTGCGGGAGTTGTTGCTGCTGCGGGAGTTGCTGCTGCTGCGGGAGTTGTTGCTGCTGCGGGAGTTGTTGCTGCTGTGGGAACTGCTGCTGCTGCGGGAGTTGTTGCTGCTCCGGGAGCTGCGGTAGCTGATTGACTTGTTGCTGCTGCTGCGGGAGTTGTTGCTGGTGGGGGAGTTGGTGCTGTTGCGGAACTTGTTGCTGTTGCGGGAGTTGTTGCTGCTGCGGGAGTTGGTGCTGTTGCGGGAGCTGCAGAGGGAGCTGTGGGAACTGATGTTGCTGCTGCTGTTGCTGCTGTGCGGGCGGTTGTTGCTGCTGTTGGTGCTGCAAGAACCGTTGCTGCTGCAGGAGCTGTTGGTGCTGCTGGTGGTGGTGCTCAGGAGCAAGGAATCCGTGTGGTGCTGCTGTTTGCTGCATGCTGTTTCTTCTGCTTGCGGAGGCACTGGATGACCGTCTGAGGCCGTGGGATGCTGCGTTAAGGCCCCCTGGGGGTCCTTGGGTACCAGGCCCTAGGGGCCCTAAGGGCCCCACGGTCCCGACAGGCCCACCAAAGCTGCTGCTTGAATGCCTATGTAACTTTGGTTGCTGGAATGCACCAGCGGAAGGGGTGAGGGGTGGCCCTAGAGCTCCTGCTCTGGGAGTCCCCCAAGTCTGCAACAAGCGTTGAGCTGGGGGACCCCACCATGCGGGCCCCCCAGTAGGTAAGCGTGAACCCCAGACGGGACCCGAAGGAGGACAGGCGAACCCTGAAGGGGCCCACGAGCACGGCCCCTGCTGCTGGTGTTGTTGTACCTGTGCCCATGGCGGGATGAAGCAACCGTTGAGCCCTTGGTTGCGGGCAGCAGGAGAAGCAGCAGCTGCTGCAGCAGCAGCAGTGGGGACGGCATGAACCCCCGGCAGAGGTGCACACAAGTAGCTTCTGCTCATATCCAAGGCTGCAGTGGTAAATGCTGGTTGGGCGCCCACAAAAAAGAAACCACCAGGCACAGGATGCAGAGCCCCAGTGGGCCCTAGGGGCCCTGTTGGTGCTCTGGGGGTCCCCAACAGGAGCCCCGGGGGGGGCCCCTCTGTTGAGGATCCGCAAGCCATGCCCTCTCCCTTTGCGGTGGGCTCTGCCGCTGCTGTGAAGGGCCTCTCGATGCTCTTGTGTCCCTTCACAGGGCAGACACTTGGATCTGCGTTCCGTTCAGGCATCTCTAGGGCCCCACTGGGGGCCCCGAGCGGCCTCGGGAGGGCCCCCGACTCTCTCAAGCAGTCAACAGACCCGGCAACTGGTGGAGGCCCTGGGGGCCCCGGGTGCCTCCAAGGCCCTGGGGGCTCTCCGGGAGTCTGGGAGGCCAGTGGGGCGGATTTGCCTTGGGATATATGTGCCTCCATTTGGAACTGGTTAGGTCGCTGCTGCTGCCTCCTCATTCGCTGCTGTGGCTGCACCTGCTGCGGCTTTACCTGCTGCTGTTCCTTCTGCTGTGCATTAGGGGGTTCAGTTTGTGCTTGGGCAATGATGCGGCAGCCACTGAGGTTCTGCTGGGGAGCGTCGAGGGTTTCCAAGCCCTCCAGCCGCAGCAGCCCTTGGGTAGCTGCACCTGCTGCTGATGCAGTTGCTGTTGTTGTTGCTCTTGGTGCTGGGACTTCAGCACATCCTTGTGGGGGTGCTGAGGTGTCTTTTGGGCATCCTTTGCTCTTCGCTTGCTGCTGCACCTCAGTTTGTTCTAAGGAGGCAAGCAGCTGCTGCCGCCCCTGTGGCACTTGAAGGCCTCTCACCTGCACCTGCCGCTGCCCAGCTGCTGCATCGTAGACAACGCGTAGAGTCTGGGGGGGCCTCCACGAGAGGTTCTTTGGAGTCTCCTTGAAGGGGCCCCAGGGGGCCCCTTCAAGGAGACTCCTCCTTGGCTCCTCTGCTGGGACTGCTAATTGACTACCCTTCGCAGGCAACAGAAGCTGAGACAGCTCCTGCTGCTGCATGCAATCGCTTTTCGGGCTCTCACTTAAGTCAATTGTCGAGAAGAAAAGACGTGGAGAAGGGCTCCTGCCCCCTAAGGAACCACAGGCCTCCTCCTTTCCCAACGCTGAAGGCGGGGGTCCCTCTACAGAACTAGGGAGATGCGTCCTTGTAAGGTGCGATTTCTGCTGCTCCTGTTGTTTCTGCTTTTCCTGTTGCTGATATCGCGGAATTGATACCAGAGACATATTTCATTAGGTTTCTGGAGGCGCCGTACACTGTGTTATTGAGTAAAGAAACCCCCTGCCCCCCCCCTGTCTTGTGCTTATTGAGTCTTCCTTGCTTATTGTAAGTTGCAAGAAGTAGAAGACTGAACTTATGCTGCACGAACAGCACAGAAGGTGTTCGTAGAGCCAAAGGTCCCTCGCTCCCGTTGGGCGACCAGCGCTGTCATTGGGGAGGCATGAGGAGGCAGAGGCAGGGGAATAAGGAGAGATGATGATTCTTTGAAGCTGCCCTCAAAGAGGCGGAGAAGATCAGCAGGCGTGCGGTGTATAGACAGCCCAGGAGGCACACCTGTCTCAATTGAGTTAGAGCAGCGGTCGGAGTACATGCGGCCTGCTGGGAACGGGGAGATGAGGGGTCCAAGTATTCTTTTTACCCTTTTTTATGAATAATAATTTAACATTCTTGGATTATTTTTGCAGATCTGCACAGAAGAGCTGCACATACACAGCAGGAGCCCCCTGGGCCCCTGGCGGATCCTCGCGGCGCCTGCGGCCTACGGCGGTGAAGGCCGTCTTCCTTTCTCTTGTTTGCGCTTCTTATTCCCGATAATAGTTGAATATTTATGCTTCACTTTTATACATCTGCTAAGAAGGATTCAATGGGGGCCGGGAGGAGGCGTATGTACAGCCCAACTCACTGCAAATGGACAGAAGGAAGCCGGTGGCGTGACCTCGCGCCTGCAGCGACCGGTGTGGCCCTGCCGGATTTGGAGTATATGTATATTTGAAATAAATTGAAAACCAAAACCATAAAGTTTAAGTCATTTTAATAAAACAATAGAGAGATCAAAATGGGAGGGGATGAGAGGAGATCGGCCCACCCGGCCCCAGAGGCATCCAAGACATTTCCGCGGATTTGTCTGCTCTACCACTGAAAAAGCTCCAAATCAAAGTACACATACTGAGGATACGGCAGGGAAACATGATAGTATACACTTCATACTTCAGCCCTACACATACCTTACACACTAGACCCCTGTCGATGCCAACAGCAAGACACCGAAGAACACTATAATTGTAAACATAGAAAAACACCACCAAGAACACCAACAAAAGGTGCACAGAGTCGGAATGCTCAAGAAGATATGCGAAACCCAGCTCGTGGTTTAAGCATACCTCTAAATATTACTGCACCAATACATAGGTCAGTATATCAATATCGATCTGCAGATATATGATACATATTGTATGTACATACATATATGCATACATATATGTATGCATATTATGCACCCAGGGAGGTGAAGGCACTCCCAGGAGGAACGCACAGGGGGACGAGGAAAAGCAACGCAGTAGACGATATCCCTTCAATCTCCAGCAGTGGCCACCCAGCCTCCTTAAACTCCGCAAAGGCAACCTTAAAATTTCTTCCCCCCCTCCCCCCGAGGCGCCCGTCTAAACCCCCGCAGGGGCCCCAGCCAAAGCGCAATACCTCTCTAAGGCGTCTGGAGAGATGCACACTGGCGTTCGCCACGCTTGTGGCAAGTAGCGCCCAGCCAGCAACAGCTAGCTGGGTAGCTAACTAACTGGCTAGGGAGCTTAAGAGCTAGATCATAGGGCCTAAGGGCAAGAAGTTGGCAAAGAGGTGCTGGCTGACCCTGACCAGGCTGGCGTGGCGGTTTAAGGTTTACAGGCATTGTCAAGGTTTATCGTGTGAAGCTGGGTGGGAGGAATGGCCTAGGGCTGCGAGTCAAGAGGCAAATCGACCAGTCCTCTCCGGTGTACCTGCACCTCTGTGCTTCTTTTTTCCCTGCTTCTCTGGTGCAAACTGCTGCAGCACCTGGTGCTGCAATGTAACTAGCAAGACAAAAGGCTGCAGCAGCAACAAAGAGCCCCCTGGAAGCCCATAATATTGCACCTATAACATCTGCAGACAAAGGAAAAGAAGGAACTGCTCGTCAGCACAAGTGTGCGAAACTGAAATGAGGGTTTGGGGTCTAGGGATTAGGTTGGGCCAACCCTGCCCCTTCGCCCCACACAGCGTAAGCTGAAGACGCTGCCCTCGCCCACAGTTCACAAATTGAAAGCAGCAGCCATCAACGGCGGAATTGTCGCACCGCTGCAGCAGCAGCAGTAGAGGCAGCAGCAGCAGCTATTCATGCTGCTGCTCCTGCAGGGTGAAGTCCCCGCCTCTTGCTGAAATGCTTCCGGTGTCACTCCAGCTCGCCGCCGAAGCGGCCCCGCTGTTGCGACAGAGAGTGTCAAGAAGAAAGGAAGGAGCAAAGGACAAAAGAAGCAACAATACGCAAAAACCCACAAGCGTGATGATCTCGCATACGTGCGCTCCGCGTGTGACTGCTACTGCTGCGCTGCAGCAGCAGCTGCTGCTGCTGCTGCTTCTGTTGCTGCGCGCTCCACTCATGCGCATATAAATCCCAATATAGATGTGCATGCATATATAAATATGGCAGGAAATACATACATATATGTCAATATATTACTGTACGTGGAAAGATACACACATATATATACGTAGAAATGGGCATAGATATAAATGTATATATAAGTGCAAACAGATATCTAAAGATGTGCAAATGTAAATATGTATATAGATCTAGACAGATATGCGCAGAAACAGATGTGCGTGTACTATGTGGCTGTCCGTTTAGTGGTCATGCATGCAAAGCGCAATGAGGGGAATAATAATAGCAGAATAATAGCTTAAAGGGGAGACACACGAGCGAGGAAAAAAAAGACGAAAAACTCCCTCCCCCCACTAGCATATCTACGCGCCTCCATGCACGCCAACACCGTGTTCCTGCCTTTGTACAGCAGCTGCTGGAGCGGCTGCAGCCGCACCAACTGCAGCAGCAGCGACAACAAGTGCAGCAGCCTCTGCAGAGGCTGCTGTTGAAGGTGCAGCAGCTGCCGGTGCAGTAGCCAGGGATGCAGCACCAGCAACCGGAGCACCAGCAGGTGCCTCATTAGCAGCAATGCCGGTGTATATGGTTTTACATGGGGAAGAAGGCAGGGATAGAGTTGAATATGTTGCGGTGTACGTTGGGCTTCTCACTTAAAGCAGCAATTGTGGAGTTTTGCTGCTGAGCATCTGCTGCTCCCTGCTGCAGCCGATAACGCATCCACCGCACCCGAGCAGCAGCAGCTTTTTGAGACCGCTGCCTTTCTGCTGCTGCTCCATCTAAGGGTGGCACAGGACGCGGCGGCCGTATCCTCTGCTTCCCCTTCTTCCCAGAACCTGTGGGGGGCCCACAGGGGCCGCCCCCGCCGCTCTCCTCCCCTCCTCCGTCCGCCACGGGGGGGGCCCAGGGGGCTCCCACAGACCCAAAGGAGGGCCCCTGCTGCATGCAACTCTGCGAACTGCTCCACTCTCCCCAGGCAGGGTTCTCCGAACCGGAAACATGAGTGGCCCCTGGGGGCGCCGCAGTCCCAGGGGCCCCCGTACCCTCCGAGGTAGCGCTAAACTGAAAGTGCGATGCAGCGCCTTGGCTGTTGGGGGGAAGCCGCGCTGTATCGGGAGCGACTGAAGCAGAAGCACCGGCAGCAACGGCAGCAGCAGCTGCTGCTGCGGGGAAGCCTGCTGCTCCTTCTGCCTCTGCGTTAAGGGCGACTGCATGCAGTTGCTGGGGCCCCAGCCTCGTAAGAGTTGCGACGTCCCCCTCGTCAGCAGCAGTCCACAGCCAGGGGGCCCTTTGCAAGAATTCCATAGCTGTCTCTGTACCCTGTACAGGGGCCCCCAAGACACAGAGCTGCTCCCCTAGCAGCATCTGGCAGGCAGCCCAGCGGCGAGCCAGCAGCAGTGCTCCTTTCCTCTTCATGCCATCAGCAGCGGAGTAAAAAAAGCAGCTTCTCTTTACACGGCAGCGCACAGAAGGGGCACCAGTGCCCCCGGTGGCCCCCGGGGGCACCGCAGGTCCTCCCTCCGCTGCGTGCGGGGCCCCTGTGCTGCAGGGCCGTACTTCCTCTGCCTCTCCCACAGTCACCCTCCAGCGGTTGGCATTTTCCTCCCACACACAACTCAACAGAGAACGAGACCCTAAGGCAGCAACGGAAGCAGCACTAGGCGCTGCTGCTCCTGCTGCTCCTGCTGCTGCAGTTGCACCCTCCGTGCTGTCCATAGGCTGCAGCACCCAACAGGCCCCACAGTCCAAGGGGCCCACAGGGGCCCCTGGGGCTGGGCCCCCCGGCGGCCCCACCGAGGGCATGCATGGCCCTCCCGCCCAGGTAGGAGCGGCAGCATGTTCATTAGGGATGGAGGAAAGCACAGAATTGGCATCGTCTGAGCCCATATTCGAGCCCACAGGAGCTATTTCCTGCTGTTGCTGTTGTTGCTGTTGTTGCTGTTGCTGCTGTTGCTGTTGTTGCTGCTGTTGCTGTTGTTGCTGGTTGGTTCCAGATTTGGGGGGTGCGCTTGTATGTCTTTTTCTTTTGTTATTGTTTCGCGGTTGTCCAGCAGGATCCCCTACAAGGGCCTCTGCAGCATCTGCAGCAGCTTCAGCGAAGTGCGGGTGGGGGCAGCCTCCTCTCCAGCCTCCTTGCTGCAGGAGCAGCTGCCACCGCTGCTTGCGGAGCAATCGATCCCCAGGATCTAGAGGAACCCCCTCGACTGCCTGTACAGCCGATTCCATTGGTTCTGGCAGAGGCAGCAGGCCAAAGACAACTGCCGGCAAGGCCGGGATGCGGCTGCGGGAAGGCGCAGGCGGCTGCGGGATCAGTAACTCAGAAGCTAATCGTGCCTGCAGCAGCAACAACAGCAGCAGCGGCAGAAACAGCAATAGTAGCAGCAAACACGGAAACAGCAGCAGCTTCTGCTCGCCACTACTACATGGGGTAAATAGAAATAATGCAGCAACCCAAGCAGACTGGAACAGCACACTGGCAGACACACCAAAGAAACCACAAACAGCTCACTGCAGATTCTATTTTAAGAAGATAACAAAAGAAAACAACGAAGAAGCAGACAAAAAGGAAACAAAGAAACAAAACACATCCTTCCTATGTACACCCCGATATTGCCTGTAACCTTTCACAACTCTCCCCTGGCAGCAAAACAGCAACAGCGACAGCAGCAGAAGGGTTACCTGTAGCGCTAAGATTTTGCTTTGGTAGAGGCCGTATTTGCGGCAGCTGAATGTCCTGCTGCGGTTTTGCTGCTGCAGCGTCTGCTGCTTGAAGCCACTGCTACTAAGTGAGGGACCCCCTGCCCACTTGGTCGCTCCCCCTGACGCTGCCGGAGTCTTCGGTGAGGCCATGCCCTGCTGCTGCTGCAGTTGCTGCTGCAGTATCATCTGCTGCTGCTGCCGTACAGGCGCTGTGCCTTCTCGCCAGAGACAGCGGAAGGCCAGTTTGCTCTTATCGAATTTGACTCCGTCGGGGAGAGTAAAGTCCACCAAGCCAACCCCTGCCACCTGCAGCAGCTCCTCCTTGTAGCCTGCAGCAGCAGCAGCAGGAGCAGCAGGAGCAGCAGCAGAAGCGGGGCCCCCTCCCGCTCCCGACTCGGAAGGGGGCCCTCCAGAAAGGGTTCCCCCAGAAAGGCGAGGGCTCGCTGCTGCTCCTGCCGCTGCTGCTGCTGCTGCATTCGCAGCTGCAGTAGTAGCAGTGGGTGTAGGTTCCTGGCTGGATGAAAGGTGGGTAGCTGCTGCGTTAGCACCAGCAGGCGTTTGCTCTTTCTGATCCTGAGCCATGTAGAGTTGCAGCAGCATGCGGTTGCGCTGCAGCAGCGCGGCCTCTTCTGCTGGCAGCTCTCGTGCTCCCGTGTCTGCTGCTGCAGCACCAAGGCGGTCGTGGAAGGTATTTGCTAAATTAATCAGATAAGAAGTAACAGAAGGATCCACGGGAGAAGCCAGCCACTGCCACACAACACAACACCCCACTAACCGTGTGTACTTGAAGACACGACGCTGGCGAAGTTGCTACATCAGCAGCAACAGCAGTAGCAACAACCGCAGCAACAACAGCAACAACAACAGCAGCAGCAACAACCGCAACAGCAGTACCCAACTCACAGAAGAGACGTCGTTGGAGTAGCCGCAGACCCAACAGAGGAAGTTGGAGAGACACAGCAGCCGCAAGTCCCAAGTCAGCAGACAATGCAGCTGCACCACAAGCGGCAGCAACAGCAGACACACCTTACAGCAGCAGCACTAGCCGCAATAACCACGAAAAGAGCATCAATTCAGCGGGGCACTAGGCACACACAGAGACAGATGCCACAGACACAGCACAGAGACGGAAAGAATGAACAAGACAAAGATACAAAATGATACCGACAAAACAGAGAGGCATATTAAACGCAAAGTGAGACAGAAAGAACGAAGAAGGACAATAAGATCCAATAGAGACGGACTGTTACAAAGGGGAGACGAGGAGGGACAGGAAAGCGGAAGGAAACACGAGAAGGGGAAGTGAGCGAGGACAGGAGAAAAAGAGTTACAACCACGAGAAGCGAAAAGCAGAAAAGGCAGGAGACAGTATGGAAAAGAGACAGCCTTACCATAATGTACAACTCCGGGAAATCAAAAATGTTAATAACCGCATCGCGGACTCGCACCATTTTCTGCGCATTTGCAGCAGCAAGAGTTGCAACAGCAGCAGCAATTGCAGGAACAGCAGCAGCATCAGTACTTACAGCCGCAAACATGCTAGCAGTAGCAGCAGCGGCTTCAGCTAGAGCAGTAACAGCACTGACAGCAGCAGCCGCTTTCAACGCAGCTGTGGCGGCAGCGGGGGAGAGGCAAGCAAGGGGGTCATTTGCGGCCGAAGCAACGGCAGCAGCGGCAAGAGCAGCAGCAACAGCAAGCGCAGCACATGCAGGAGGAGCAGCAGTAGCAGCAGGCTTACATCATCTGCCTGAACAGCAAATGTGGGCTCCAGCAGCACATCATAGAGCAGGCGCAGCTCCTTCTTCCTCTCTGTGTCTGATGTCACCCCGTAAGAAACCGGTACTGGAGGCCGCAGGCCCTGTAAGGCCTTCACAGCAGCATCCTGCAGCAGCAGCAACGGCGCAACACGCAACATACGCAGTCAGACTCCCTGCGAAACCGTCCCAACACGACCAACAGCAGCAAGCCACTAGAACAACAACAGCAGCAGGAACAGCAGCAACAGGAACAGCAACAGCAGCAGCAGTTGAGCGTGGCGGGGTCCTACGCGATTTATTTGCGAGTCGTAGAAGAGCAGGAAGTCAACTAAGGCGCTCTCGTCAGAGCATGAAGATGAAGCAGAAGAAGACGAAGATGAAGAAGATGGAGAAGATGAAGAAGGAGAAGAAGATGAAGATGAAGACGATGAGGTAGTTAAGGGACAAGGGGAAGGAGCCGGAAGAGGAAGAGGAGAAGAAGAGGCAGCTGAAGCTGAAGATGAAGAAGATGATGGTGAAGTTGATGATGATGACGAAGATGAAGAGGATGAAGATGAAGACGATGAAGGAGAAGAAGAATAAGAAGAAGATGATGATGAGAAAGAATGAGTAGGAGGGGGAGGAGGAGCAGCAGCAGCAGAAGATGAAGAAACAGAATGATGAGGAGGCGAAGAAGAAGAAAAAGAAGAATGATGAGGAAGAGGAGACGAAGAAGCCTTTTCCTCCTTCAAGTTTTCGCAGCCACGTGTCAGCAATGCCGCCGCCTGAGAAAAAGTTAAAAGGGAAGAAAAATAAACACCAGAAGTGAGGCCGAAAGGAGACAGCATTTATTATCATTCGGCAACAAACCAAAACAGACACAGCAAAGGCAAGGACAGTGGTACAGAGAAAGACGAGACAGAGAGAGAGAGCGAGAGGCAGAGAGAGAGAGACAGAGACAAAGACGGAGGAAAGGACAGAAAAAGAGAGAGCGAAAGAGGGGGCTAAAGACAGATACAGACACAGAGAAAGATCAGGGGAGAAAGACCAAGAGTTAAGGGTCGAGGCAAAATTGAGACAAAGGAGACAAAAATGGAAACAGACATAACGGGAAACAACACGAGAGGCAGCAACAAAACACCAAGAAAGAAGGACAGCGGCCCGATGAAAGGCCAACACTTTGCTGCTGTTGGTGCTGCAACAACGCACCATCCGCAGCTGCCAAACGTCTCCTTTTTGCCTTCTAACTACGCGTACAGCCCAAGGGGTGCCCCCTGAGGCCTCGCCCATACGAGGAGCACAGCCGCCTTCTCGTGGCCTGCTGCTGCACCCGCTGCCGCTGCTGCTGCTGCTTCTGTTACTGTCGGTGCTGGGCGCACCCCCCTCGAACGCACTGCCTCGTTTGCCTCCCGCTCCTGCTACTGCTGCTTCCCCCGCTGAAGGTTGTTGTGCTGCCGAATCTGCTGCTCCTGCTGCTGAATCTGCTGCTGCTGCTGAATCAGCCGCTGCTTCAACAGCCCAGCCTGTGGAAGGAGGCCCCTCGGCGGCAGCTTCCGACGGGTTGGTGGGCCCCTCTCTGTGTCTGAGAGCCTCATCAGCGCCATCCTTAGGGCCCCCTCCCTCTGCGGAGGGGCCCCCTGCAGTGGGGCCCCCACCAAAAGGGGCATCCACAGGGTAACACATGTAGGGGGCCCTGGAGACCGGGGCCCTGGGCCAAGGCTTGGCGTCAGGGGGATCTCCGTGGAAGGGTTTGTCATCGGTTTCAGTGGCCCCTGCTGCTCCGCTGTAGGCAGAAACGCCCCCCACATCTATTGCTACTGCTGCTGCTGCTGCTGCTGCAGTTGCAGCAGCCGCAACTGCCGCTGCAGCAGCTGCTGGTGCGGACCCCTTCGCAACCGTTGGCTGTGAGACCTCGTCTCCGGTGTCTGCAACCACGCATGCAGCCACAGGGGGGGGCCCTCGTGCTGAGTCCCCCAAAACAAACGCCGACCTGCTGCCACCTCTTCCCTTCGGGCCCCCGTTCTTTCCTGCTGCTGCTGGTACTGGAACAGCAGCAACAGGTGCCACAGCAGGAGCAGGCGGATCCACCTCTGCTGCTGCGTCGGTGGGCCCCGGGGCCCCACCCACGCGGACACCTGGAGGAGGTGCTCCAAGGTGGTGGAGCCATGGGAAGCTATTGAGAGGGTAAGGGGCCCCCAAGACAGGAGTGTCTCCAGTAACCCAACAGCCCTCATCAGCAGCACGATAAAAACGGTCTCGCTGCTGCTGTAGCGCCTGCCGCTGCTGCCGCAGCAGATGCAGCTGCAGCCTAGCACGCACCTCCTGCAGCAATTCCCCCGTGCCGCTGCACCGGCTGGCGCTGCTGCTGCTGCAGCGTCTCGTTGCTGCAGCCCTGTCTCCAGCTGCTGCTGGGGGATCAGCAGCAGGTGCCGCAGCAGCAGCTGGTGTCTCCTCGTCGGTTATTCCCTCTTCTGAGAGGACGGCAGCAGCAGCCGTCTCCTCAGGCAGCAGCTCCATCCGCTGCCGCAGCTGCAAGTATTTTGCTGCTACTGCTGCTGTCTTCTGGCGGCTGCGACAAAGACACGAGAACACCTTTCGCCGACGCACCACTCCACTGCTGCTGCTGTTGCCGCTGCTGGACTGCGACAGGGAGACGACAAAGGCGCTGCGTCTACCGTCAAACGAGAGCTGCTGCAGCGCCCGCGGATCCTGCTTCAATGCATGCCCCTTGAACTGCTGCTGCTGCTCATCAGGGTCTTCAGATGCGATGGAGACAGGCGAGGAGGGAGGAGGAAGGGGCCCAGCCTCCAAGTCTCCTGCAGCAAAAAGAGAACTGGCGATGGGCTCTACAACCCCTCCAGGCAGAGCCGCAAGAGGCAACAGCAAATCCAAAGAAGTGGCTATCGTAGCTGGTGGTGGTGCTGCTGCAGCAGGACCCTCTTCCTGCTGCTGCTGCTGCTGCTGTTGCTGTTGGTGCTGTTGCTGTTGCTCAGATGGTGCTAGGTCCGGCTGTTCCTCAGGGCGACTGTCTCCTGGTGTCTCGGCAGTATCTGTTGTTTTTTCTAGTTCTTTCTTTTCTGCGGTTTCTAAACAAAACAAATCATATGCTGCCAGTGCACCCCGCCGTAATTCAGCTCTCATCCGCTGCTTCAACGCTACCTGCTGCTGTTGCTGCTGCTGTTGCTGCTGCTGTTGCTGCTGCTTCATCTGCTCCAGCTCGACGCCTGTGATGGCCTCTATAGGCTGTGCTGCAGCTGCTGCTGCGGCTGCAGCCTCTGACTCTGCCTGCTTCGCCAGCTGCAGCAGCTGCTCCCGGCTGCTGAGTATTTGTTGCAGCAGCTGCTGCCGCTTTCGGCCTTGCATCCCTTCTTGCTTCCCATCTTCGCCTGCTGCTGCTGCTGCTTCTGTGCCTGAGGTTTGACCCTGAAGAGTCTGCAGCAGCCCGCTGCATCCAGGGAGACCCTTTTCCTCCTTGAGTGTTGCTGCCTTTGCTTTGCCTTCTTTTTTGTCTCCTCCATCTGATGCTGCTGCAGAAGAAGAAACCCGCTGCAGCCTCTCCACCTTATCCGGCGCTGGCTGCGGGAGCAGCGAAAATACGCTTGTGGCCGTTGCTGCTTCCTGCTGCTGCTGCTCATCCTGTTGAGCGGTTGCAGCGCTGCAGAGGTTTGCTGCTGCTAGCGGCAGCAGACACTGCAGCAGGCCGCTTGCCTCCCCTGAAGACAGCTGCTGCCGCGGCTCCCCCTGTATTTGCCGCAGTTCCGATTGAGGCGAGCTGAAGATATCCGAGGGCCCCCCAAAGCACACCTCCTCAATTGGGCCGGCCCTGGGCCCCCCCATTACCTTTTCTTCTGCGTCAGTCAACCGGGGAGCCCCCAGAACCTCCCAAGCATCCCCTGCTAGCAACGATAGCTGTGCTCTGACGGCATCCTGCAGAGGGTACAGGGGATCTGATGTGCTGCCACCGCGGCGGGACAAGTCGAGGTCGACAGGGCCCCCACTGGGGCCCCCAGGGGACCCCTCCCAAGGAGAGAGCCCCGGCAAGGCAGAGGGAAAAGAAGAGGTTGTCTTGAAGAAAACAGAGTAACCATTCAACTCCTCCTCCAGCCAATTCCTTAACTCTGGCGGGATCAGCCACTGCAGCACCCGCGGAAGACCAACCGTACCCTCCGCTGCTGCCGCTGCCGCTGCTGCTCCATCGCTGCTGTCTGCTTCAGACCTCGGTGCACTCAAAGCCGCAGCAGCTAACGGGGGGGCCCCTGAAGACGGCGGGGCCCCCGGGATATCCATGGAGGCGTCTGAGGCGCCGCCTCAGGGGGGGCCTGCTCCAGACTCTCTTGAGATGTGCATACACCAGAAAACCTACTTTGAGTGTACAAGCAGCAGCAACAGAGCAAGAGCAGCAGCAGCTGCGGCGACTCCGCAGCAGGAGCAGCAGTAGCAGCGGCCCGCCGCGAAGAAGGACCGGCGGACACTTCAAAAGGGAGATAGAAAGCCGCTTATAGCACAAGATCACTTTAACTCTTTATTGAGAGGCTTCAGTAAATATATTAAGCACCTGTAGTGTACATAGAGCTCGTTGCGGAGCGCAGGGGCCCCCGCCCAGCCGACCCTGGCCTGCCGCCCGAGCGGTGCCAGGGGGCCCCCAGCAACAGCAGTTTCATGAGCATGTCTGTCGCTCTTTGATTCAGTTAGGTTTGTAAAGACATGCAAATCAAGCTTTAGAACGCAAGATGAGCGTTGGGGCCCCTCCCGCAACACTAGCCCGCCTAATGGCCTCAGTATCCCCCCTTGTGGTACTCTCAAGTCCTGTCCTTCCCTTGCCACCTTGGGGCCCTCAGGGGAAATATGGGATCCCAACGCCTTTTGTCGCTGACATAGAGGCCTGCAAAGTCCCTTCCTAGTATGTAGGCCAGCGGTGTGGCTGTAGGGGAGTATATCGTTTGGGGCCCCCTCGGGGACCCCAGGTTTTATTGCACAGGCGGGGACCTTGAAAGGAAGCAGCAACGTGAGAAGGAAAGGACAGGGCAGTGGTGCTGTGTGTGGCATGCACATCTTTACATACACTTGAAAGGGCCCCGACAGAATGAATGGGCCATCGTGAGATTCTGACTTCAAGGAAGTACAGGTCACAGCAGAAACCTTAAATCAAACCCCGGCTCTGTGTTGTATACAATGCGGGGATTGATAGGGTGATGGGTGTTATAAAATAGACGGTTGTATCTCCAGCGAGCTACCTCCAGCTGGCTTCCTCCGACTGGCTACCTCCATCTAGCTATATCGAGGGGTTAAACAGCTACCTGGGTTCAACAGCTAGCTGTGGGCGAGGTGCCACCAGCTAGCCATGGGACTTTGTGTGCAATAGAGCAAAGCAAACGCTCCTCTGCAGCGAGCCATGTTTCTGTGTTTGCAGCTATCCACACATTTATGTGCAGCTAACATGAGTGCGCAGCTAGCCCTAGAGGCGTCTCTGCAGCTAGCCACAAGCATGCCCCTGCAGATGACCACAGCTGGTTGCACATATGCATATAGTTGCACATATACATATGTTCAACTAGCAGAATGCATGTGTATTCTTGCTAGCCGTAGGTTGTGTAGGTAGCAAAGGCTAAGCTGCTAAGGGGGAGGGAGACCTGCGTATCTGGGGTCTTCCCGCGCTGCAAGGAACTACCGAGTGCGTGCAGTGTGCATACAACTCAAACACCGCTGCGCTCTAGCCTTTCAGCCGTCTATGCATGCAGCAGCCGAAGAGACAACATGTACCCCAATGTGCAACAGGCCGCTGTCTGTCCGTGGCGCTAAGCCAACAAACAAGAAAGAGAGTATCGTAGATCCATACATGCATGCATGCATGCATGCATGCATCTACGATACATGGATCGTAGATCCATGCATGCATGCATGTATGCATCTACAAGTGCGTGCGTGGAGGCGCCCTCATGCATGCGTCATGCACGCTTGTCCCTTTTGGGGCTGCCTTCCTACCTGAGGAGATTTGGGGCTTGGGCTTGGAGCCCTTGCCTTTGTGCCTTTCATGATTGGCATGGGTTCAGTTTTGCGTGTGTTTCAAATGGAAAGGATACTTTGGTGTTTAGTGTTTAGGATTTGTTTGTCTCCCTCTCGGGGGTTAACGACAGGACCTGGACCCTTCTATTATGAGAAACGGAGACAGAAGAAGGCAAACTCAGCTGGTAATACTCCCCGTCTGTCTGTAAACCCCAAACCACCAAAACACAAAACCGCTGCAAATCTGCCGGCGATAATAAACGCAGTTATTTAAGCATATAGAGCAAAACCATAAACCCTAAATATAACGAGATTATACTTAATGGATGCAAATTGGCAGCAGATGACAAACATGACAGGGCAATACACGAAACAAACAAAACACTTTAATTTGACGCTAACAAGACAAACATATTACCTGAAAGTAGACTCGGGTCCCCTCATCCAGGGGCCTAAATGATATATCCCAAGGCCCTCCCCCGCTGTGTAGCCTCGAGCCCCTCCCGCGCACCAGCTGAGGACAAAACAAATGCATTAGACACTTAAATGCACATAAGCAAATAGAATATTATCTGAATATGTTCCATTGACTGTTCCATGCTTTACTGGAACATGAAATAATAATCCTCAAGAGAAAAAAATATTTCAAAAACTTACAAACTCCATTCCCATCGAAGGGACGCTCCGAAACGTCATAAACTCCAGCCGCTCATCGCCCATCTGCTGAGGCACTTGCAACAGCGCCTGTATGCAAAACAGCAGCAGCAGCAGGTACAGCAGTACATACAGCAGCAGCCACAGCAGTAGCCAGAGGAGCAGCTAAAGCAGCAACTAGCGTAGCAGGTGGAGCTGCAGCAGGTTGTATATGGATAGTACTGGCTTGTGTTTGTCTTGTTGCTGCTGCTCTTTTAATACCTTTGCTTCCTTTTGCTTTTGTTTGCTTGACTGTGTTGTTGCCAATTTTCGAGAAGGCCCCCAAATGTCATTTCCTCCGCTGAAGCTTGGAATGTTAAGCAGAACCAAAGACGCCGTCTCTACAACCAGTCAACGCATGCAATAGGCAGCCAGTCTTCAGCCATCCTAACTAACAAACGGGTGTTTAAACTTTACTTGCTAATATGTTTATAGTTTATTTTTAGGGTTTAGGGGTTATCTTAAACGCTAACAAACAATTAAACTTTAAACAGAGCAAATAAACAGAGTTAGTGGGGACTCAAAGAACGGGCATGTGCTTACTTCCTCCCCTCAATTATTTGTGAATTTGTTCCTGATTCGCTTTAAATGTACTTGCTTACTTTTAAGGAGAGGAATGTGTTCGTGTTTGGCCTTCGACTTGTCGGTAGTGCAGAGGATTTCTTCCTGTGGGGAGTTGGGGTGTACGCGCAAGTTTAGCATAATGTCGTTGATGCTTTTTGTCCTAGTCAGGAAGGTTTTCTTAAAGCCCTCAATACCGTAACGCTGAAAGTAAAAAGCCGTGGCAACAACAGAAAACGCAAACGCTGAAAAAGGAGAACAGTAGCAGCAGGAGCAGCAACAGCAGCAGTTGCAGCAGCACCAGTCGCAGCAACACCAGCCAGAGACTCAGTGGGTGTCCGTGTTGACTGTTGGCAACCGTGGGGCCAAGTAAACATCGGCAAAAGCAAGGGGAGGCAGGAACAGAGAGAGCGAAACAAACGGAGGCGAAGGGAGAGAATAATATCCTTATTAGGGCTTAGGGTTTATTCTTTATTGGGGTTACCATTTTGTTGAAAACCTGCGATTTAGTGCGGTGTCTGTCGAACCCCCTCCCTATGCGGCTTTCAACTCCCATACTAAAGTAATTGCTCATTGTGAAGGACAACTGCCGCACAGGCTCTCCTCCTCTTTCCACCACTTCCTGTGAACAAACCCCAAAACCTTAAACCCTACGCCCTAAACAAAAAACCCCTTAACCGGGAGCCTCAAGGACGAAACCCACGGCCGGAAGAACCCAACCGTTGACCCTAAACAGGCCCAAGACGAGCACACGGCAACAGCTGTAGGATCGCTTGTTCCCACCATAGACCCTAAACCCTCAAGGGCTCTCATTTGCATCGTCTTGGAAATAGACATCTTATCTGCTGCTCTTTGGACTGAAGAAACAGCTTCTAGGGGCGTCAAGCCCCGACATGCTGTCGCTGCTGTCGTGCCTTGTGGTAACACAAAGGGTTTAGGGTTTACGGTTTGGCTTACTTTCTTTCTGGTATGTGGATTGATTCTGCTGAAGTGACCACCAGGCCGTAGAGAGACAGTCACAGACCACAAGTCATGAAAAACCACTCGAGCCCTCATGCTGTGCTCCACAATGCTGCGCAGCCTATCAAAGCACAGCAAGGCACAACACAGCAACCATGGTGCTGCTAATCCTGCTGCTGCTAATCCTGCTGTTTATGTCGCTGCCTCTTGCGCTGTTATTGTTGCTAGTGTTGTTGCTGCTGATGGTCCTGCTGCTAATGCTGCTATTGCATGTGCTGCGACTGCTAACGCGGCTAATTCTGGTAGTGTTGCTACTGCTGCCAATGCTTGTGCTGCTCCAGCTGCAAAGGTCAAGGGAGCAGATGCATCAGCACATGTCCAGCGGTGATCGCTGGAAGGAGGATAAATCCCTTCAGTAAAGCATAAGCCCTAGAGCCCGTCCGAATACAGTAACAGCTCACGTGTGCAATGAGGAGTCGAAAGGATTCGCTGCGTTGAAAGGCCGCCACCCAAAAGCGTTGGCGAAATCATTACCTGCAGCATGGCAAAAACAAAGAATCCTAGCCCTAAACCCTAATGCCAATTGCTTATGGCAACTGCTTTGCGAGCTAGCTCTGCGGTTTCACCAGTGCCACAGCGAAACAGATAGTTCCTTGCAGCTGAACGTCAGTCTGCCACCCTCAATGCCAAACCCTAAACCTACAACTTAGATGCGGCATACCTGTGCCATAGGGTACAACTCCTACTGCACATACATTGCCGAGAACTCCTGTCTTTTCCATTTCTTCTAAGCACCACATAACAGTGCCATCTCCTCCTGCTACAAGCACGCGGATGGTTTTTTGGGTTTTGTTGGCTTTGCCAGCGCTGCTACTGCTGCTACTGCTGCTGCCGCTGCTGCTGCTGTTTTTCAGGGCCTCTTGTGCGTCTGCCTTCCCTTCATCAGCAGTCGCGCAGCAGCTGGCGCTGCTAACCTTTTCTGCTATTGCCTTCAACAGCAAGAAACCCGGCTTGCTGCCGCTTGTTCCCTCTCGGATGTCATTTATGAACACCATCACCTTAAAAGGCTCCCGCAGAGTTAAACGCGAAACCGCAGTCTGGTGTACAGAAAGCACAAACAACAAAACAAAAGGCGAAAATCTCAACTGACGGTCTCACAACAAAACGCTCATTATAGTCAAATCTAAAGCCACACAAGAACAAATTGACCAAATAAAACAAAGACACAAACACAACACAAACAAACACAACAAACACACAAAATAAACAACGACACATAAAAACGTAAAACCAAGCGTAAAACAAAAACGAAAGAACAAAAGAGCCCACCGCAGCACGATTAAGGAGACAGACAGACGGACAGCCGCCTAGAGCAAAGAAGTATATTGAAGATGATGCAACAAAAAGACACAAAGAGCGCCACCGAGTGGGACAGGCAACACACGCCTAAGGGGAGAGACCCAAAGCCACAGAAAGACCCAAAGAGACAGAAGCACAAACAGAGAGGATGCTAACTCGCGTGAAGGCAGCTGCCTTGTTTCCTCCGCTTGTTGGGTTTGTAAAAATGAAAACGTAATTAAAATCATTATCCCCAATATCTGCTGCCTCCAGATCAGCCACAAGTTCTGCTGCATCCTTTGCTGCCACGGCGTCTGCTGCTGCTGCTGCAGCGGCTGCTGCGGCAGCTTCCCCCGCAGCAGCTGCTGCTGCTGCACTCTCTGCTAGCGCTTGTTTTGCTGCTGCTGCTGCTGCTGCTGCGTTCTTCGCAGCAGCCGCCCCCCCAGCTCTAGCTGAGGAGGGGGTCAGCTGAAGCTGCGCCCACGATTCCTCTGGAGACACCCAAGAGTCTTGCTGCGGAGATGCCAGATGCCCTCGGGATTGATTGGTACCCTCCCCCGGGGACCCCCCCAAGAGTCCCTCCCGTTGTCGTGAGGGCCCTGCAGAGGAGGTTTCGGGGGGTGCTGAGATTGTTCGCTGTGTTACGCTGCCGTCAGTATTCAAATTTTGGCGCTGCAGCCCTTCTTTGTGCAGCTGGTGGCCGGGGAGGCCTCGAGGTACGTGGGCGAAAGAAGCAGCAGAGTCACGGGGGACCGGCGGCGAACTCATTCCCTCCTCCGAAGACACAATATTCTACAGGGGCCCCCCCCTTAGCTGTGTGCGCCTCGAGGCCCCGCAGGGCCCCTCCACCTGCTGCAGATGGGGAGGGGACCCCGATGCAGTTCAGGAAGAGTTGATTCGTCCTTTGAGGGCCCCTAGGCGCTGAGATGGGGCAGCAGGGGGGCCCCATACCCCAGCAGGCCCCTCTCTGATGCAGCCAGCCCTCTAGCCTCAGGAGAAGGGATCCAACAGGTACAGATCCTACTGAGCTCGTGGGGGGTTGCTGTAGTCAATACAGGGGATATGCTGTCGTGCTGCTGTGCCCTGTAGCTAGTCGAGTGTGGGGGAATAAGGAAAAAGGCCCCGCTGCAACAGATGTCGTGCTCAGTATGCGCAGGCGTATGCAGAGGCAGTCGTCGGCTGCGGCGTGCGGAGAGGAGGAGCCAACCCGGTGCTGCTCCCTGGAGCTGCTGGTGCTGCTGCTGCACACGGACGAGGTGCAGGGGCAGTGGCAATAGAAAGAGGGATTCAAAGCAAAGAGCTGCCGAATTAGAACCGAGGAGGGGCCTTGAAGGCGGCGAAAGTGCGGAGAGGTGGAGCGAGCTGTGCGGTGCTGCTGTGTGGCATGGGTACCTCCTGAGCGGCAGGTGGTTATTGTGCACAGTTTGGTTGCGTTTTCACGAATGTTTCGTCGTTAATAAACCCCTTCTTGTCAATAAAATGTATTTAAAGGTGTTTCCCCTAGACGGGAGAAGCAGAGAAAACCCCAACGACCTACAACAACTCTGCGTGAACCGCGCCAGCTCAGGCGGAAACGCTGATTCTGCAGGGCGCGCCGCACCTCTAAAGCAGCAGAATCTCTTTACCTGAGCTGAAATGTAAGACGATAAGGCCAAGTGAACCCCAAAAAATACGGCTTTCTGCTGGTGGCGTCATGAAGTTGCCCGAAAATGCAGCACCTGCATGCAGCGATCCTGTGGCGGACATCTCGGCAACCGGATCTTTGTAGCGCTCCCCTCCTCAGTGGAGGAAGCATATTGAATCCAATTAAAATGAGCTGAACAACCAATGCAAACTGCTCAATTTAATCAAATTGGAGTTATTCTGGTGCTTTCTCTTCGGAGAATTTGGTTTGCTGCACCGCGTCTCCCAAAGACGTGATCACCTGCAGCCACTGCAGTCGACAATACCTGAAAAATGTAGAAAAGTTTAGTTTCAGATGCAGAAAGACTTGAAGTGAGTTTCTTTATTGGGTGCCCTTATTAAAGTTCAACGTGTGAATTCTGAAAACGGGCAATTTTAGTCGTATTTACATCGCGTTGCCTCCCGCACGTTCCTGACGGCCCGGAGAGCGGCAGAAAGCCTGAAATATTCATAGTAGTCTACAGAGCTTGCAAATTGATGCTTATCCACTCCTGAACTCTCTTGAAACACCACGGCTCAGAGCCATGTTGCAAGAAGAGCGAGTGCCGTCTTCTTCGTGCCCTGTCTCACGGCTCAGCGCAGCAACGCTGCCTTAAAATGTTTACAGTGCATCATTTCATGCAGATTGCCTACGACAGGCTGAATGTGGTGAATGTAACTAGTTTCGCGTTTGTTGTCCTTTCCTACATCGTGGGTTGTTGGGCCTTACGTCTTCTTGATGTTTGCATGTGGGGTTGAATCGCCTAGCAACAGGAATTGCAGCAAGGCGGATTGCTACGAACACACAAGAATGAACATTTCCTTCTATCTCTGCACCACCATCTGCGCCACTTCCTTTAGCCGATGTGGCCACATGGACGCCTGGAGTGGAAGGGCGGTTGAAGTGGATCTTTAAACGTAGACTGTTTAAGTGCAATACAAAGGAATTTGGCTCCTTTCTTCTTAGTATGACAGTTCAGCCTCGGCTAACAACAGACGGTCGCCTCGAGCTTAAATTATTAGCAGTTTTGGGATGTTTTTCTCCGGCAGCAAATGCACCGCAGTAGCGGAGGCGACTAGGTTTTCACGAAAGCCCCTGTTTCTCCTTGACAAACACAGCATAACAAAGCAAATGATTGTTTCAATTTGTCCACTTGCCCGTTGTGTGCGGCTGTGGAGCACCAGGTACCTGATTAAAGGCAAAATGAGACCGAAAGAGGTGGTCTGTGCATGGCTCTCCTGTGTGCAATCCAACGGAAACATGGCTGGCTGTCCCACAGATGGCAGGTTTCTGCGCGGTCGATCCCACAGTCAGGAAGGCCAGCTGCACAAAATATCCACACGTGCGAGTTGTAGGGAACCATTGGCTATTTTCAGCTAGCTGTAAGTGCACAAGTATCTGCGTTATCCATTTGCACTTTCACATGTATCCCTGCCATGCATGAACATCTGAATTGTCCGCTGTCTTGTCCTTGCAGGTCAATGCTACTGCTGCTAACTCCCACCTGTACAACGGGTGCTTTCTACTTGCCCTTGCTCCATGTGCGAAGGGTTCCAGTGGGTTACTTCTTTACTCATTCTGGATGGCTTAGTGATCAACGGCTTACTTACCATGTGCATGCATTGCCAACTTATTTGTCTGACATGAATAGGGCACTTCAGGGGTGTCAGTTGTTGTTCTTCAACGTCCAGCATTTTCCCTTGGTCAGATAGGCGGTACAAACCTGCTCTATCATATTACACTACATGATACAATGCACTGAGCCTGATGAATTACATCATTTCTCACCAAGCTCTGAAGTACCCAAAAATAAATAAACGAAACCAGAAAGAATACCACCCACTGAATTTGAAGGAAAGTGCAAGGCGGGGTTGTATCAAATCCACAAACGAGAACGAACAAAAGTTGACGATTAAAATGCATCAATGCTTTCCATTTAAGCTGGACGTGCATGTTGCATCAACCGACTATTCGGCCAGCAAAATGATCCCCAATGTATTAGTATTTAGTGTATATGTATTAAGGAGGTGAGTGAACTTCTTTTTGTCTGTGGCATTCGCCGCTAAGTTCATTCATTTATTTACAAATAATTTCCTGCACGTCGGTGGCTTCTGTAATTGGTTGAAGTTCGGCAGGAAAGAGGCATTAGGCAGAAGAATGTTGAACTGAGCATGGGTAGCGTACCAGTGCAATAGAAGACACGCAACAACTCTTCCTCTCTTATTTGGGCAGGTATTGAAGTGAGTATTGCATACAATATACATATTCATATTTATATATATCATATGCAAGCAGAAACATCCTCTTGAAGTGGGCTGGAGGAGGCGGCGGCAGAGATACATCCGCAACTGAAACCGACACTTAACATGGGTGAGCCCGCCAGCCAGCCGTTCGGAAACTTAGCATTCACTTCTTCGAATCTTTAATTCGCCCAATAGATGGGTCAGCTTCGTTTTTTCTTATTTTTTATAAGTACGCGCCCCTAGTATGCGCTCCTGGTGTGTGTGGCATTTCTTTCTCCGGTCTGTAAGAGAGAAGCAGTAATCCCTCATTTAGAGGCACTTGCTCTCCCTAGCTTCTTCTGCACTTTTGCTTATTTGAACCATGCCAAATGTGTTACTGCCTGTAGCCTTGTTCAAATGTGCATTAGGTTGTATGCAAAGGTTTAGGTTGTTGCTGCCATAGCTGTTCGGGCCGTTACTGTTATTGCTGATGTTGTTGCTGTTGTTTTGTTGCTGTTGCTGCTAATGCAACTGCTTCTGTTGTTGGCGGCGTTTAAACAATATTGAGTTGCGCATGCATTTCAGTTCAATAGCGTAATGAGCTGCGTGTTGAGGTGTCAACTGACTGGAGAGGAATTCACTGAAAAAGGTTGTTCAGAGCCTTCTCCCCATACTCGTTGCCCGTTTTGGACTGTGCAAATGTCCGTTTCCTTCATTTTGGTTTATTGGAAAGCTTGGAAAACTCCTTCATTCACTTCTGCCAAATTTTGTCCCTTTAGAGTGCTTTTCACCCTACAATGCGTTTACATTGGACACTCCACAGAGACTTTTCCTCTGTCTTTTAGGGACATTTAAGCATTTTTTCTTTCCCTCCGTTTATTCATAATAATTTTAATGTATTTTACTGGTTCTCTCTCCTTCTGCTGCCTTCTCTCCCATCAGTTTGATCTAATTTGCAACACAGCAGCTTAATCCTAGCCAAATTGCACACTGGAGTCGGGCAGCGTTTAGCCACACATTGGTGGTCTCTGCATGAACCCTTTAAGCAGTTCATTTTGTAGTGCTGGGTTTAATTTGAATTTCGACTGCTTTTCCGCAGAGTTTTGCTGCAATGAGTGGTGGGCGGTGTTCCTTCCGGATACACCCGGAGCAACTGAGGCAGAAGCGCAGAGCGCGTGTGGCTCAACTCCACCATATGGGCTTATTTAAATTACTTCATGAGTTTCATGTAAATTTACTGTTCTATTTAATGGATATTTCACTAATTTGGTTCGCTTGACTCGGCTTCATGCAGCAGTGTTGTTGCCCTTCCCACAGGGAGAGCGAGGGGGCCTCCTCTGCCTTCGCTGCGTGCAGCCTTCGGCCGTGGGGCCCCTCCATGGTGTTGGATGCAACTAGAGGTGTATTTTATTCTTCTGTTGGAGCCTTATGGTATTTTAGCAATACAGAGAAGGGTATTTTGAGAGTAGAAGCGCTAACTGGCCGCTTTGTTGCGTCCTTAGTCCAGCTGCGCTTTGACTCCCTGTGCAGTTCGCCGCCGTTCATTGGAGCTGTCTAGACACCGGAGCTGCTCCTTCATTGCTCTTTAAACGGCTTTCTTGGAAAAGAGATATAATTCGTTGCAAGGGCGCTCCGCCTCTTTCTCCTCCCCAACCGCCGGACTCAGGCGTTAATGGGAACCCCTGTTTCTCTCCCGTTCGCCTCTCCTCTTCAGGTATTTCTAGTGTTTGTTCTCTTCTCGTGTTCCGTTCAGTCATTGTTTTCTCGTTGTCATCTCTCCTTTTCTTAGGCACCACGCAGGCAATGCTAGAGCCGGGGGCGCAGCGCCTCTTGCTGCTGAGCTCGACTTGTTTACATACATTCCAGGCGCCCTCTTAACATGGGGGAGTCACCTGCGGTGGCAGCAGCGCCGTCAGACTCAGAAGAACAGCCAACATGGGCTGTACAGGACCCCCACAGTGGCCCCGATTCTCCTCCTCCTCGACCCCCCACCGAACATCCAGAAACTACGCAATGCAGCGACAACACAACCGCGAGAACAGCCGCAGCTGCTGCTGATGTTGCAGCAACAGACAGCACGGAATCTTTTGGTGGACCAAAGGGAGGTCAGAGCCGAATTCATAGTCAAGACAACCCCCCCGCAAACGGAAAATTGTTCCAAAGCCCCCAGCAGGAGCAACAACACAAGCAGCAAGAGCATCTAGAGGAGCAGATAAGCCCAAAACAAACGGCAGACACCAAGCAAAATAGACAGCATCGCCGACGAGGCGGGAAGCGCAGCAAACAGCAGCAGCTGCTTCAGCAGCGACAGCAGCAGCAGCAGCAGCGGCAGGTAGACAGTAGATCTGGGAGGCCAGCAACCGTAGACTCGACCGAACGTCTAGATGTTCCGAAGCGTCAGCAGCAACAGGAACAGCACCAGCCACAGCACCGACAACAACACAGTGATATTGATGCGCAGCAGACGCAGCTACAGCCCCAGCGTTCCTCCAGGAACGTGTGGCAACAGCAGCAGCACGATGAGAAGCAGCAGCATGAAGGACAGGAACAGCAGGAACCTGCAAATACCCCAGATTCGCAACCGACAGCGGGGGAGAACAGTTGCTCGGAAGTACCAGCTGCCGATGGTGCTGTAGCTATTTCCCCTGCTGCAGCAGCAGCTGCTGCTACCGCTGCTTCTGAGGAAGATGACTCCCAGGAGTTAGGAGCAGTTGCTGAGCAGGCATCTGAAGCAGTAACCCCTGCAGCAACAGCAGGCGAGGCGGAGCCCTTCTTATTTACCAGCTTAACAGCTGCTGCAGCACACACAACCGGCGACAGCAGCAGCAGCAGCAGCACCAGTAGCAGCAGCAGCAGTAGTAGTAGTAGCTGCATGCATGACAGCAGCAACAGCAGCAACCCCAGCCTAAGCGCAGTCCGTTACCAGCAAGGCATTCCTGGGGCCAACGCGGACTCCTATCTTCCGCGTCCTCCACTGCAGCAGCAGCAGCTTTTCCACCCGCCGCAGCAGCAGCAGGTGCAGCAGCAACAACAGCAGCAGCAAGATCTTCCGAGTGCAGTGCATCAGGTTTCCTCTTTTGAGTCAATTCAGTCAGCTGTGGGGACTCGAAGCAGCGCGTCTAGAGGTCGTGGAGGCCGCGCCCGAGCAGCAGGAGCAGCATCTGCTGCTGCTTCAGCAACAGCGGCAGCTGCTTCTTCTTCTGCTAGTGGATGGAACAGCTCAGCAGCTCACTTGTCTCGTTCCCATGCTCCGGGGGCATCGGGGCTGAAGCAGAAGGGCCTATTAGCTGCTGCAGATCCCCATCTTCTGCGGCAGCAGGCGCTGCAGCAGCTGGAGCGGCATGGCCGCATCCCCCCCGTTACTGCCAGCAGCCGCTTCCCTTTCCCTTACCTTAACGCTGCTGCTGCAGCTGCAGCAGCAGAAGCAGCACGCGCCAACCAAGAGACACAACAGGCCAGTGCTGCAACAGGTGGCAACAGTAACACTGGCGAAGACACCAAATCGAAGGGGTTTTTCGGTTGGGTACGTCGCCTCCTACAACTGGACACGGGATCCAGCAGTCGCAGAGGCAGGACCCGAAGAAGTGCAGCACAGGAGCGTGAACAGCCTGCGGCGTCACCCAACAGCACCAACGAGCGTTCATCAGACCGGAGCAGCAGCAGAAGCAACGCCAACAACAACAACCGCAGCAACAGCAGCAATACAAACAACAACACCGCCAGCAGCAGGGTTGGTTGCGGCGGCGTCGGCGGCTTTTCAGTGTCTGCGTCGTTTGTGGATGACAGTTCTTCTGAAGAAGGCACACCTGGTGCGGGCAGCAATTCTGTGCCTGCTGCCTTGCCTTCGCGTTTGTGTCTCCAGGTGTCTTTGCTGTTATCACAAGATGATCGCCTCTACTATGGAGAGACTTTTGCTTCTTGTGTGGCTCACGGCTCTGGCTTCGCTCTCTATGGAGGTGGCGTCAGTGGGGGCGCCCGGGGGCTCTGGGGGGAGGGGGCCCTCCGGCGTCTGGGTTGTGGGCCGCTGAAGGGGCCCTGCGTGGTTTTGCCGGGTCCCTCGGGGGACCCTTTGACGCAGGCGGGGGGCCCGTGGGGGGGTTCGCTTCGGGGAGGGTGCCCGTGGGGGCCCCCTGGTTGGGGGCCCCCGCTGGGTTTGGGCGGGAAAGGGAGCGGCGAGGCCCTGCTGCAGCCTGGGCTGGGGCTGAGTGGAGGCCCCCGTCCTGTGAGCGGGTACTGTGGATTTTGGCGCCTCGACCGGCGGGAGGGTTGGGGGGTGTTGCTGCGGGGCCCCACGCCTTCTAAGTACGAGGGCCAGTGGGTGGGTGGTCTGCGGCACGGCTGGGGCGTGCAAAGTTTATGCCAAGGCTGCCGCTATGTGGGGCAGTTTCGGCGGGGCCTCAAGCACGGAAGAGGCATCATGGTGTACCCAGGAGGGATGATATACGGCGGCGAATGGGAGGATGGGCGCGTGCTTAAACAGGAACTCCTTATCTCTAACAGACAGCTGCTGCCCAGCAGCAGGAAGAGCAAGAGGAAAAGCCGCAAAAGAGACCCGAACGAAACGCCAACCCCAAAACAAACAGAAACACACGCAACGAGAGGGCTGCATTCAGAAGAATGCCAACAGGAGAACGAAAGAAAAGTCAGAGGAGAAGGGAGAGGTACCCAGCAACAAACCTGGGAACAGCTGCAACAACAACTGCAGCAGCAGCAGCAGCATCAGCAGGAGCTGCTGCAACGACAGCGCATCGCGACGATGCGTCGCAGACCTGCTTCTGTACGACGGGCAGCTGCTGCAGTGGGAATTACCAGCAGCAGCAGCAGCAGCAGCAGCAGCGATGACACAACGGAGGAGAAAGACATCGGCATGGAACAGCGGCTGACCGAACACATGGAAGAGCTGCGGCAGTTCTCCGCAGCTGCTGCAGTGCGGCACTGGGGGGAGGAGCACGTGCAGTGTCTGCTGCGGAGCGTGGGGTCTACAGACAGCTTGTTGCAGTTGATGAAGGAGCAGCAAGTTGACGGCCCCGCTCTGCTGGCTCTGACAGACAGGGATTTGAGGGAGATGGGAGTGAAGACGTGGGAGGAGCGGCGGCTGCTGCTGCTGCTGGTCGACCTGCTGCTGAAGCTGAGGCACCGCAACCGCTTGCGGGGCCTCTACAAAGCAGGCTGGATGACGAGGGACTACTTGCTGCAGCGTATTCTTATCCCTGCAGCGGAAATCGACATTGAGGGGCCTATCGGGGAGGGCGGATACAGCCGAGTGTTCAAAGCCACCTGGAGATACACGCGAAGCCTAGACGCACAACACCGACTGGGCCAGGCGGCGAACAGCAGCCAGATGCACGCAGAGCAACAGTTGCTGCTGCAGCAGCGGCAGCAGCAGCAACAAATGCAACAGCAGCAGCAGCAGCTCTGGATGTCTTCTCTGCACGGTGTTGAGGGTTTCGAAGACCTCGACCGGGGTGACGCCCAAAACCTTCCGCAGCCGCCGTGGGGCATCTGGGGCCCCGCAGAGGCCAAAGAAAGAACAGATTTAGAGCAGAAGAAGCAACAAGAGTCCTGTGGGGAGATGCGGGTAGCCGTGAAGGCATTCAGACAGCGGGACAGCCAAGGGGCACAGCGTAGCTTGTATGCAGAGCTGTCTGTGCTGTCGTTGCTGCGGCACCCGAATGTGTTGCTGCTCCTGGGGGTTGTGGGGCCCCCAGTGTACGGGCTGGTGACCGAATATGTTTCTGGGGGTTCTTTGTTTGATTTGCTGCACAAGCAACGTGTGTCTCTTCCGCTAATGAAAGTCGTGAAGCTAGCCAGGGAGGTCGCCCTCGGCATGAGCTACTTGCACAACAAAGGGGTCATGCACTGCGACTTGAAAAGCCCGAATATCCTGTTAACTAGCAATGGAGAAGTCCGCCTTTGCGACTTCGGGCTGGCAACCATCGTCGAAGCAACAGGAGGCCCAGACTGGTGGACGGCTGCGCAGGAACAGCAGCAGCAACAGCAACAGCAACAGCAACAGCAACAGCAGCAACAAAATGACCCTCAGGCAGCTCATCTCGGCTGCGTAGGAACCCATCATTGGATGGCCCCAGAAAGTAAGGAGAGGAATTGCAAACGGAATAAGAATAAACTTTGGAAGGCATACACATCAAAACCTATTTACCTTTAGAACAGCACCTGTATTATCAGTCTATAATTTGTTGTATGGTAGCATGTGGACAAATTTACTCCAACAAGCTTAGCATGCATAGTGCCATGGTGAGAACGGTGAAGAAGTTTTGTTGCTGCGGCTCTCCATTGATGTAATACACGTACGCCTCCTTGAGGGAATATGAAGGGGGAAGGTGGTTGGAGTTTGTCTGTGCGTCACATTTTGTTTGTGCATGTCTGTCGTGTTCTTCGCGTTCTTCTGGTTTGTGTTTGTCTCTGCATCGGTTGCGGATTGTATCTTAACCGAGGTCTTTCGGTGTTGTTGATGCTGCTGCTGCAAGTGTCTTTGCTTTCCGGTTGCTACAGCTGTTCTTGCTGCTGCTGTGGCTGCTGCCGGTGTCATTGGTGCTATTGCCTACATGCAGGCTGCTGGTACTGCTGCAATTGCTGCTGCTGCTGCCGCTGCTAATTCTGCTGTTTGCAGTTCTTCGTGGGGAGCCGTTCACATTTGCAGCTGACGTTTATTCCTTCGGCATTGTCATGTGGGAAATGCTTGTGGGCGGATTGCCCTTCTCAGGTACCTTTGGGTTTTAGCATTTTATAGTGTGTTTTCATACTAAATTGTTGCGTAGGAATGTACAGTGGAGTGCTAATGAAAGTAGAGAAGCGTATTCCTATAGAGTACTCTGTGTCTTAATATTGTTAGAAGGGGATCGAGGGCGGCATTCGCTGTTTTACGTTAATCTGCAATTGGTACTTTTTTCTTTAATCTGTAGCACTCTCTTTTTGTGTTTATTTCCTTTGAACACCTCGGGCTCCTCTGTGGCCCTGCGGATATCTTCTTTCTGGTGGCGTTTCTTTCTGCCGTTAATCTTTTGCTGTTGATGGTTCTGTAGCAGCAGCAACAGAGATGTTGCATGCCTATCCTCCTTTCCACCTAAGACCGAGACATGGCATGTGTCTTTTTTTTCAGTCTCTTTTCTCTGCCGTGTGCTCCTATTTTATTTTTCTGTGCTTGCATGCACTTACACTGGCAGTTAGCCGAACGATCGCATTGCTGTGCATACACTGCTGTCCCTGCTATTACTACTACTGCTGCTGCAGGAATTGCCTCTCCAGCTCATCTGATAACAGTTGTGGGGTACGGAGGAGTAACGCCCCCCCTTGAGAAGATCCCGCGGCCTCTGCGCGGCTTTCTGCGAAGCTGTCTTCAGCAGGAACCATCGCGGCGCCCCACTTTCGCTGCATGTGCGCAGCTGCTGCAGCAGCTGTACACTGCAAATCTGCTGGACGTGGAGGTGGACCTCAACTCACTGCTGGGGCTAAGCTCGTGATCAGCAGCAGTAGTAACTGTTGCTGCGTCTGCCCTACAACTCGCTGCTGACAGGTAATTCAAGGGCTGAAAAACGCAGCAGGTATGGCAATCGGACCCGGACCCCTCCTAAAGATGGAACAACTGAAGATATATACAAGTCTATATAAAGTACATAATACATCCAGTCACATATGTGCATATGTAAATACATGCATCTGTAGTGCGTAGCAGTTATATATACACACCTTTACTTTAGCTGTACACGCAGCCTAGGGGCCCTAAGGGCCCCTCCAGGCACTTGACCCGCCGTGCCTGCTTTTTGGAGGTCCCGAGGGCCCTTTTAAGGGGAAAAGGCAGCAAAGGGGCAGCAGAGGTACGTCGGGGGCCCTTTGGCTGCTTCAGGTGCTTGTGGGCTCCTGTTGAAGTTAAACTCCAACACACAGAGTACGCCTGAGCGCTCCCCCGGGAGCAGTTTTAAAGGCTCTCAGTTGCCCCCGTGTATCTGCGCCTGTTCTCACAGCAGAAGCAGCGGCTGCTGCTACTGCTGCAGTGTAGGAAGGCGGGAGGGAAGACATTTGACGCTTGCAACGGAGCGCGCAGCCAAGGCTTCCTGTTTCTGGGGGCTCCTCCTGGGCCCTCTTGGGGCGTTTGCCATTGCGTGCGCTGGGGCGTCTATACACCCCATTGCCAGCGGAGCCATAGGTTTATTTGGCTTTTGTTGGTGACAACAGCTGGCGAAGAATATTGGGGGGGTTGCTGAGAGAGGCGATTCGTTCGCCTTTGCTTCCTGCATTTGTTGTGGTTGTTTGCATGTAGTGCAAGGTCTCGTTGATAATGTGGTTTTCACACGACGCTGGGGCCGTCAAGAAGTCTCTTGTATTACAACTGTCAGCCTTTTCTTATTATTCAGCATGGAAGGGGGAAAGATTTCCGCTGCACTCCTCCATATTATATGCTTGCGATGTACTAGCTACAGTTACCTGCAACTTGCATGTAGTAACGATGCACTACAGGTGGAACAAACCAGCTGGTGAGCTGCCGCTCTCTTAAATGAGAGACACGAAGGAATCCGGTGACGGAGACTAGCAAACAAAATAAGCAAACGCCCGCTTGAGTTTGTCCAAATAATCGTGTTCTAAGGTATCTTTACAGGTCAGGGGCTTACTACCAACTGGGGCGTGCGTACACCTCAACTTCAATTATTTCCTCGAAAAAAGTGCCTCTAGCGATTGCGTCATTTTCTGCATGAATAAAGGGTTTCTTAAACACGTACTGCAGCACAATTGAACACGCATGCGGGTACTATCAAAGGCGCTCCCGCCACGCTGGAGTATGGCTCATGGGACGCCCGAAGCAAGTAGAAACACAGAACAATTTTAGTGGGCATTATAATTAACTGCGAGAACCAGATACCTTGTGTGGAAGGGAGAGGGGCACTCTAAGCGTTGATTGGGCCCCCGCAACCCAGGAAGAATGGGCCCCTCAGCCATCCGTGCATGTGTAAGGGTTGCGAGCATAGGCTGCTCGTTTTTCCTGCTTTTTAGCTCAAACGAATATAACTTTATCTTATATTCATTTCATTATATTATTTGTTTTATTCGCTCAGCATATCTTTGGGTCAAGCACGGAGACTTGCATAGACCGCTGCCGACGCTGCGCCGAGGTATCCCCGGTGGCTGGGTGTTGTTGTAGCAACAACAGCAACAACAACAGCAACAGGAGCACCGATAACAACGGATACATCATCATCAGCTTACCCAGTTCTTGCCCATAGTTTGTGCAGCAGAAGGACAAGCATCCGCGCGCGCCATCGTTGACTTGTGACGTCACAGCAGCAATCAGCTGCTGATTTTGTTGCGACCCGATGCTCGCATCTGTCTGTTTGGAGGTGGGGAGAAGATGGAAGGGCAACGGCCTCCTCCTCGTCTCTTGGCGCGTTTGAAGGACTACGTGAGACTGGCGGTTCAAACTGCTATTTTTTTTCTTGTAATTGCACAGACTATCTGCTGGCTGTCTGGCTGGCCTCTGCTCTTTTCTGGAACAAATCCCGGGCCTGCGCTGCCATCTTCGCCGCCGGGTGCCGAAAGTGGCAGGGTTTACTCCCTCAGTCCTGCAATAAAGGTGATCCTTAAAAGCCTCTTGCTCTCGTCAACCTATACACCCCTGCCAGATCACGCATGCAGCGTGTTGTTGCTTCTGCAACAACAAATGCTACACCATCATTGTGTATTTGCGTTTGGCGTGTATGGGTGCCGCTGTATACTGGTGTTTGTGGTTGATGCATGCGCGTGTGTGTGCTTCGGTCTCGAGTGTATACACGTACACCTAGACCTGCTGCTGGTGCTGCTGATGTAATAGGAATTGATGAATCGGGAAGGGATCATTCATTCTGCGTGCTTTGAGAAAGAGCGGAAAGATGAGCAAGAGTTCGTCGTTTGCATCGGCAGAGCTGACTGCGCGAGGGCGAGGACAGCCGGCAGCTCAGTGATGGTCTCCGCACCACACGTCTTAGAATCTCCTGAAGGAAAGCGGAAGTGAGTTTAATTTGCTGCAGCTGCAGCTGCAGCTAACTACCAGGTGTTGCTGCTGCTGGGATCAGATCCATGCACACAACCTACTACACATGGATGAATGCCTTTCGTGACGCCTAAACGTCTTCCACGTGTGCATAGTTGCGACTCATACCTGTTGCCTCCGAGATAACAAGGAGGTTACTGTGCACAGCTGCAAGTACTTTTAATGGAATCACAAATATGCCAGTAATCACAGCAAATATAGTAGTAATATAAGTAGTAGTATTAGTCATTATCATGAAACGCGTGTGTGTAATGTGCACACAGAGTCATGGAAGTAACGCACGCTGTCTTGACGCACTTGGCGAGGGAAATGCACACGAACGATTTGCAGGCTTTAATCGGTAAAGTTAAGGCCTTGGGTCTGGCTTGCGACACCTTCCGCTCCGCTTCCTCTCCCGATCTGTAGCCGCTACAATAGGCAGGCGACCAGCCTTCTAAAGTTAACACAAAATAACAGAAATAGTAATTAATTCCACCTATTTAGTTGTCTCACGCACCTCTTGTGGCTGAATAGGCAGCTTGCAACGCGATTTGCAAGCAATTTCCCCCTCTGCTGGGGAGTACATCAGCCTGCCGACCCCGCAAAAATTAAAGACATACTGACACAAATTGAAAGTTTTGGGGGCTTTGTGGCTTTTAAAGAAAGGTACTTCCGAAGGTGCTCAGTTTCCACTTAGAGCGAACGATCTGATAAATGGTTTGCAGTTCAGGCTGTTCCAGGTGTATAGGGAGCTCAGTCAGGCTGTGGCGTATTAGGACATCCTGTGGAAATCACGCGAAACACCTCTGCACGGAGATACCGTTCGTTGACAAGTAATAGTACGGCAAGAAATGTCTAATTTATTCACTTTCCTGCTTCTGCTGCAAAAGCTCCTCCAAGCACGCGCTGTTTTATACAGCCGAAACACAAAACCTGCTGTGATCGATTCGATGATGCACATGCATGCGGATTTTGATGACGTGTTGGACAAAATCTTCGATGGCCCAGCCGACGTTCTTGTGGGAACCAAGGCGAGTGCAAACAATCCAGGCGGGAACCTCTAGGGTGTAATATTTTTTAGGATTTTCCTCTTCGATTCTGTACAGCCTGGCGGCCGCCTGACTGTCCCTGCGACAAGAAACCCGGTACAATGAATGTAGTGCGTAAATCTGCTCTATTCTTTTATTCCGTTCAATTGTTTCTATCAGAAGGGGATCGTCGTGGTCGTTCTGGTGAAACTAAGGCGTTTTCATAGGCTTCAAGGGGCCGCCCTTACTGCTTCTTCCCTCCACAGGCTAGCGGCATAACGGTGCAGAATGTGGGGGCGAGCGCGAAGGCACAGCTGTGGGCTTTTGCGCCCGTAAGACCGGCCTGTAACATGTGTATCAAGGCGCAGTGCCTGAAACTGTCATGTCCGCAGATGTGTTTTGAACGTGCTTACACCCCAGACGCTGGCCGCATATTCGTCAAAGGGCCGTTCAAGGACAACGTCATTGAAATAAACGGCCCCAGACGACCCAAGTCATTACCAACTACCACGCAGCAGGTCCTTCCTACTGCGAAATGCAGTAAAGCCGTTCATCAGCGACAAGCGAGGGGAAATAATGAAATAATTGCTTTCGTGGTTCAGATTCCGTCTACTTCCATATTCCTCCCAAAAAGCGAATAGCCATCTGTGCTAAAAACCAACTGGCTCCCCGCAGTCAGCCGAGGGAGTGGGTGATGCTAAATGAGTTCCTCACCTCCCCAACCCCAGAACGCCTGCAAGGTAATTTAACGGTACTTTAACAGTTCGGACATAGTAGCCCGTCTCTGTGTGCACAGGTGAGGAGTGCCCTTTGGGCATGCAGGGCAACCGGTCATCGCAGACTGTTATGACGAGGACCCTAGCGAAGGCGTACGTGAACTTCGACCTTCTTTCTACTGTACATACGCTTCACAACGCAGTTCAGGCTGGAAGAAGAGGCGGGGTTTGTAATACAGTGGGTATTCGACTATGAGCCAGAGAGGTGGCAAAGATAAATAACATCCACAACAGAACGCTGGTTGAAACTGGAGCCGATGTGCACCACCAGGAGAAGGAGCGAGGCCACGAGAGTCCGTCTATTCTTTGCATAATATCGTCTTCCCTCCTTGATTCAAATGTGTCTCCATATACGCCTGGGCCGCCTCCTTGCAGCTATTGGAAGGAGGCAAGTATAAAGCCGAAACCAGCACGTGTACAGATACATGCAAGCTACTCTTCTCCCAGTAACGAGCGGTTGTATAATTTGCTGAGTTCAGCAAGGCGACAGGAGGTCAAGTCATATTTCTGCACGCTGCGCCTTCTCAGTCGACAGCAAAAGAAAACCTCAACGAGGGCATCTACAACGCCTGCACAAACCGTAGGCCAAACAAAAACAACAGTCTGCTGTCAGCTCACAGAAGCACCCTCCGATTGTTTGTACAGCCCAACTTTGTATCATCGTAAACGAAGCTAGAGGTAGGAGAAGGCGAGAAAAACGCCACGTGAGCAGCACAGAAATCTGAACTCCACACAACTGCAGCAGCAAATGAAGCAGCTGACCCGTCGGTGCCAATTCCGATTTATCTCGCTCCTTCCCGCCCTGGAAGGAAAGTGATAATTGTGCGTCTCCGCTGTCTTTGCATGCAATCTTTGTACCTCTTCGTCTATTCAAATGAGCTAAAATTGTTCTCATAAAATGAATGCCTGTTTTTTGGCCTCAGCTCGACTACGGGGAAGCAACCGCAAAGACGCTCCCCATGCCGCTCGAAGACTCATTACCTCTAACAAGCTAAAACCCCCAACCTAAAATTCTAAAACCCTAAAGGGGCGTGAAGGAGCAGATCAGGAATCCACTTCTAATAACAGCGGTCCTTCTTATCCCCTATCTCGCTTGCCTACGGTTTACTGCGTCATTCGGTCGAGACAGATTCAACCTGCTCCAGCCTCCCATCATGTAGGAAACGATATTCCACTAACAACTGATTCCACAGGAGCTGCTGCACTAGTAGACGCTAAAGCAGCAGATGCCTGGGCAGCAGAGGACGCTGCGGTATGGACGGCTGCACCGGCAGGCCCTGCTGCAAGAGGTGGTTCTACATCAGGAAGGCCTCCTGCTGCAGCACTCCCAAGAGAAGGGCCTCCTGCTTGCAGTGCTCCAGCAGCGCGAAGGGCGGCCTCCTGTAGGCCAGACTGACGGTATTTGCCTCTGGCACAAAAAGCAGAACCAAAAATCAACGACCCTGCCGGCTCAGTCCACCATGCCTCTTTCTACTTGGCATTAAGCTAACCCGCAATATCACGCATGCACCCAATACACCAAACCACCAAAAGGGCGCTAGGTTGGACCACCGAGAGAGCATCGGTGCACGCGTACGCAAGCGCTGCTTACAAAACAACTATTAAAGCTTATCCCTTTGTAGGCGTCCACACAAGGAAACAAAAGCCTTGCATTAACGCACGACCACAAATCAACGAAGAAAGAAACACAAATATACACTGCACTGCGCAAAGAATGAGACAGTCATCAATCGGGCAGCAGGTATACCCGGCACTTGTCTGCTTACCTGTGCGACACTCCACCGTAGAGGCGTTTGTCTTTGAGATTCAGTTTAAACTTGTCTGCTGCACGCTGCAGTCCGTACTTCTTGATGGTCTTTAGGCCCTTCATTGACAAGCGAAGCCACACATAGTGGCCACCTTCAGGCCACCACAGACGCTTCCAGGCCAAATTCACCCGCTGCACACGATGTGTACGTACACCCGAGTGGCTAATACTGCGTGCCTTCCGGTTGTCCATTTTCCCTAGCAGCATACACCTGCATTATGAGAACATACACTGAGACAGATTCAGCATATGCACAACAGCAGACTAACTCAGCAGCACCCCCCCAAATAACAGCAGCTACAGGACAGACATCCACAGAGGAGACACCCTCAAAAAAAGCAACGCCGGCAAAATCAGCAGCAACAACAACAGCAGAAGCAATGCAAGGGCCAACGGGTGCGACCGCCTCACCTCCTGGTGGGCAAAATGATTGGGTTTGTAGGGAGACCTGTGGCCTTCCTCACGCGGGGCTTGCCGCCACCTCTTCCTTGAATTCTGTAGTGTCTCGCTATGGAGGAGCGGCCCACACTTGTGAACTTTTTCCCCTGCACATTCACCGCAGCGCTTTTGGAAGGCCGCCTTAAGGTGGATGCACACTCCCGCCATTTTACAGTGCAGCCAGCCATGCTGCCTATGGGAAGCCGACTGGCGCACATCAACTCACAACACATACCAAACAGACAAGCGGCTCACCATTAGTTGCTCTTTGTATCGTTTCTCACTCATTTGGAGACATGTGGGCCCCAGCAGCTGTCCCCTCCCCTGGAAAAGGACCCCGGGTGGCGCCGAGAGCCCCCAGGAGACGAAGGAGACAGATCGGCCTCCCACTTGTGCAGCAGGTCGAGGGGCATCACGGTATGGTTGGGCAAGCAGGGGCCCCCTTCCGGAGTCCGCCGGTGTGCCGTGTGCTGTCTTAAGGCAGCACGCTCCACCCAAAGCTGTTAGACGCCCTCCAATTGAGTATATAAACGAAGGCGAGCCCGAAACTGGCCTTGCAGACGCAGCCAGAACCTTGTCGGCCACAGAGAAGAGGAGGAGGAGAGCTAAAAGGAGATCAGACATGAGGAATGATGTGCCCACTAGTGCTCGTTACAAACGCAGTTCGAGCCGGACGCGAGTTCACACCTCCTCTTTGCGAAGAAGTGTTCGCAAGAGTTCGTATTTCAAGAGTCTTAGGAAACGAGGGGAAAATCGTTGCGAACCACCGCCTGCTGCAACAAGTCGTCGCCGGGGGTGAAAGGATTATGCAGCCGACGGCTTAGATGAAAGCAAGGCGGGGTAGTTGTCTGCATTATGCGCGTCAATTGGACGAGGATATCGCATACAGAGAGGAAATTACTTTGGGAGAAATCTACATTCCAAAGGGAGGCTCCCTTTTCCGTGGCGGCGCGTTCCCCGCGGGGTGGAGAAGATGGTTGATTGGGTGTGCCTCTCTTGTAGGGCCGTCAATTCGGAAACTGATTAGGTCCGTCGGGTACTCTGTCATTGAAAATATTTATAAAAGCGAAATTGAGCGACTAATAGCGCCGTGTTTAGAAAAGGGACTTCTCCATACTGCAGCTTGTCTCGCCAGTCCCGGTCTGTTGTGGGAAGCCTAGCTCAGCAGACACTGCAACTGTGTGTGCTTGTGAATGGGGCAAAAGTATGGATGTAATGTGCTTCGTTTTGCTGTGAAATTCGATATTATCGTTGTCGGCAGCTCGTTTGTTTTGCCATTCTCCTTCGTTGGCTGCCACCTGCTCTCGGTTAGTCGCCAAAGCACGACGCCAACTTCCAGCAGTTCTTCTAATCTGGGGCTGCGGAGCGCTTGAAGCCTGTGAGCTGTCTGAATACCTCCAGCAACAACTTCTAGAGAGTTCTTTGGCCGGGAGGGTCTCAAAGTTTTATTACACTTCGCTGCGCCCGTAGAGAGCAGCTGTATCAGAAGGGCAGCCCTCTGCGAAGACGAGGTGCAGCGTTTGAATATTCCGACTAAGTATCTGGTGTTTGCAGCGTTCAGAAGTAGCACAATGTCGTGTTGCATGAGCAAGTTGCCTTTGGTTGCAGCGGGGAGCGGCGTGGCCGCGCTGCTTCTTTGCTTGCCGTCGTCGCTATCTGGCTGTCAGTCGCTGCTCCAGCAGTCAGATAACCACCCGCTGCTCGTCATGGGCATGCGTGCCCTTCTCAACTGCAGCTTTGGGGCTCTCTTTGGTTCAAGCGTCTGGGTTCTCTGCATCGGCTCTCCCCTCCTGCGGAAGCACCTCAACAGAAAGCAGCTGAGTACGTCGCCGTCAGTATTGCTCAGCACTTTCCTCCACCTACCGATCTTCTACGCTGTAGATGCTACATAGACACACACACGCACACATACACACACGGAGAGAGAGGAAAAAAAGAGGCATAGAGAGACACACAGACAAGCAGGCAGACACACACGCACACACACGCACACGAGCTCAAACATACACACACATACATAGGTAGTATATATATAACAATGCGATTCGTAGGAAGCAAACTGCATCCTGGGGGCAATCTTCCTACGAATCGCATTGTTGTATATACAATATCTATATAATATCTGTGTATGCGTGTGCAAGTTTCTGCTTGTGCGTGTGTATATATCTGTCTTTCTCTTTACGGTGTGGTGTGGTGTTCGAACAGTTGCGTTTCAGTCGGAGCACTTGCCCTTATTTTCATGTTTTTCTTCTGTCTTTTCCTCCCTCCTTCTCTTCACAACCTGCGAGTTGGCCCTCGACCATAGACGTCTTCAAGCCGTTGCATGCGCCAGTGTCCTATTTAACCTTGCAAACTCTTGTTTTATCTTCCCGAAACAAGTAAGTCACGCTTGTGTTGATTGGTCCTATGACTTCATTCTGTGCAAGTTGCCTTTGACTTTCCCAGTCCTTTTGTGGTCTCAGTGTAGCTGTTGTTTTATTGTTTTTCTTTTATTGCTGTTTTGCTGCTGTTGTGGCACTGTTGCTCCTTCTCCCATTGTTCTACCTGCTGCAGCCGCTGCAGTTGCTGCATATTACTTAAGCTGCTGCTGTCTCCTCACTATGCGCTTTTGCACGCACTTCAGGTGTCTCTGCTGCGTGAGAGGGAAGAACTTGCTGAGCAGTTGGGGGCGAAGCCTGACGAGTCTAGTGCTGCGGTCCTGTCCACGGCAGAAGCTGCAACAGCAGCAGGAGGCCATCAGGCCGTAGAAGGAGAAGACTACATCCAACTCCACAAGGCATTCAGGCGCTTGCATGCGCTGGGAATGGCTTCTTCTTGCCTCTCTCTCGGCTGCCTCCTCCCGTTCCTATTTGCTTAAGCCTGTTCTATAAGCATGCAACGCATGGGTATACTGTAATATATGTATAGACACTCAAGAAACAAAATCCCGTCAACCCCTTTGTTTGGTGCTCTGCCGCGGTTGGCCTGCACAGCTGCGTTCCCCTCCTCCGTCCGCTTTGCTGCATGCAGGTTGTGTTGTCGTGTTTTTGTGCTAAGCAAGGGGACAAAAAAGGAAGAAGGTGTTAGAACGGGAAAGATAATCAGCACTACCTCCCTCGCCTCCGATTTGCATTCAACACACCAACACCGCACGACGGACGATCGGGTTTGGCCATCTGCTGTTGTTGCATACTGGGGTGTACATGCAGTTAGTGCATGCAGGAGGAGCCTGTTTGTTTGGGGCTCTCTGCTGCTGCATGCAGCAACATGCAGATTCATGATTTGGGGTTGTAGAACTTGGGGTGTCAGCACAGAAGAAGCCAGGCCCGATAAGATGCTAGGATACGTTGGAAATTACTAGCTGATATAGTCCCTGTTTTGCATTACACCGAGAACCAACTACAAGAGTCCTCAGAAGACAGGCTCACGCAAAAGAAACTGCTTCTGTTGGGAGAGAGCAGCGCAGGCCAAGGCGTCTTTGCATTTTCCTTCGCAGCCCTCGAGTTTTTCTCGTGAATCAGCTGTCAGTTGCCTCGTCTTTAACGGCCGCTTTCATCTGATTAGGGCATTTTTGTCTATAGTCAGGAGGTAGTAGAGATCCCAAAATGCCGTGAAAGCAGACAAGAGTGGTGGCACTACCTTGCTTTCTTCAGCACAAATGCTGTTAGATTGTAGTGTTTGGTTTGTTTGTATTAACAGCTGTGAGCCCTTTGACCCACTGTCGTCGGGGAACCAACGGCCGGCCCGCTGAAATGTCACAAAAGTAATAGGCAACACAAGAGAGATAGAGAGGGGATGCACAAGAAGAATCCTGATGATGAGACGGCAGGATAGGTGACGCCCGACAAGCGAGAAGAAGGCCTCGAGTCTTCAAAAAGCCCTAGTGCAGCGCTAGTAATCACTTTTGCTCGTAGTCGTCTACATTCTATCGCGTTCCTAGCTATCTATTCTGCCCAAACAGTTCTTGTTTCGTTTTACTTGCAATCTGGGGAAGGGGCCAACGTGACTGAGTAGGCTTCGTATCCGCAGTACCACAACAGAACAGTCACAAAAAAATGAGGCTCTTTCGCGTTTTGCAGATGAAAGCCATTTATGCATGCAAATGGATGCACGCATGTATTCAAAACAAATCGATGCATGCATTCTTATGTTCGCTCAAGAAGTGTAAACAACTGCGGGGGGTCTGTCTATACACCGCCCCCTGCGGATACAGCGTGAGCTGCTCACAACTGCATGAACTGTAAAGTACCCGTGCGTAATCTGTGCTGAAGTCTTCTTCAGTTTTAAAGGTAGCAGAGCCTGATACTACGACAATGAAAGGTGCTACATCAAGTGCAGCAGCAGCACCTAATGCTGTGGCGCATGATCCGGGCGTTGGTACTGCTGCTGCAGACGCAGCTTCTGCTGCAGTTGCTGATCGTTTTCCAGCTGCAGCCCGCTGCAGCCACTTTTACAGCAGGTTCGTGCAGCTGCAGCTGTTGCTGCTACTGTTGTTGTCGCGCTGCGTTTTCATGTTGATATTCTGCCAGCAGCTGCTGTGCGTAGCTGACTGCATTGACAGGTTCTTGCTGTGCTGCTGTGCCTTCAACCGTGGAGAAAACCATCCATGGTGTTTCAGCCCACAAACGCGCGTACTTGTTCTTGAGGAAGGCGTAGTCGCCAGTCTCAAGGTCACGAGCCCAGCGGTCGAAAGACTACAATCACAAAGCAGCATAACCAAACAAAATGAGAAAACGAGCACACGAACAAATGGAAAGCAGCTCACCGACACACAAGTACACAGACAAGCAGGCCACGAATGCTCCACTAAAGTGTCCGCCAAGACTGTGAAAGCCTTCTTTGTTGCTACTGGAGTCACTCTTGCTTTAATTATTGTGATTGAGTAGTGTTTAGTTGATGTTTTCCTATCATCTTAACTGTATGCAAGTGCATAAGATGTTAGACCAACCCCTTTCTTCCCCTGCAACCTGTAGAAACAAATGATGTGGTACACGCTCCTTCTGGCTTCTTCAGATGGCATAAACACCTCCGCTGTCACCAACTCAAACATGTTCTTCCGGTGACTGTAGAACCACAAAAGCATAAAAACACTTCGTTGGAAACGCAGGTGCACCACCAGACGGAAGAGATCAACACGCGACAGAGAAGGAATACACTGAGAGTTGTATGCGCATACCAAACATCAAAAGTATGTATCTGTATGCATAACATGCACGTTGTGCACTATAAAAGTCTATATCGGCATGTCACAAGTGTTTATGTAGCTCTGCACATGTGACATAAAGGCCTTATATTAACGTTATCCCGCTGCAAACGTGGATATGCCTGTAAATGCTAACACTTAAGCATAAATCTACGCACGTGAACACAATTGTAGGAAAATCAAATCAGTGCACCATGGTATACGCATCTGCATGTGCAACTGCACAAAATGCATGCGTATATTCTGTGTGTAGGCATATATGTATGGTTTTCTATGCTTTTTATTTGCTTCGCCTTCTGGTCATATGCCCCAAGGAAACAAACTGTATCTAAGCAACATTCTGCGGAAAACTTAGCGCTTGCGCTTTATCACGTAAATCAAGAACTGTTTGACAAAATAATTTCACGCATAAGCTCAAATAAACCAGAACTTCTCTAAACTTCAATAATGGATCCATATATATGCTTTCACACATTTGCGCATAAATACGAACAGCAGGACCTGTGCCTCAACAGTGCAGACATAGGTGCAAATTCAGGTGAACAACAGAGAGTCGCATAAGACCAGTACTTATTAATGATCAGTGAGGACAGTTTCTATAAGTTATTAATTTTTCCTGCCACACGAGACAGCCAGGAAAGGGACCAGTGCCTAAAGGGTGCCTACAGGTGGCAGTTGTTGTTTGTTACCTGTAGGTGGGGAAGTGGATCCTTATACGGAGGTCTTCTTCTCTTTCGTCCAGCTCTTCTTCAGCAAGAAGAGAAACGAAAAAAGCGTTGTAGTTCATTTGCAAGACCAAAGGGGCTTCTAAAGAAGGCAAGGAGGTGCAGAGCTGCAGTGCCTATAAAACATATCGTGACCCATGACATTCTCAGTCACTATTAATCATTAGCTATTGTGCCGCATAGGTCATTTTTCGGTCCTCTTCTGTTGTGCGTCGGTTTTAGAGCAGCTTTTGCCTCCCTTAAGACACACGGCATCGTTGCCCGTAAGTGAGGGTGTATGCTGAGCTGACAAAGCCTAAACCAAAACCAGCATATTATTTAACACATGGGGACTGATCTAAGGTGTATGAGGGCCTGCATGCACCTGGCGCGTCACTGTGAGTGTAACATCAAAGAAGGGCTGGTTGTTCCCCACAGCAACTGGAGAAAGCCCGAAAAGACGTTGCAGATCTTGGCCTTTACAAGTCGCCTCAAAGTCGGTCTCCTTCTGAAAACATCATACACAACTCACACGCAACTCCATTCCTCATGCCCCTTCTCGCAGCTTCAGTTTATAGTCTCGCACAATCTTGTAGAAGAGCTACAAAGCATCCATTATCCTTCTTGCAGGCCTTGTTCCCAACTTGCTCTCACCTTGGTCAGCATCAACAGCATCGCACGTGCTGTCTCATCGTCCACCGTCACCGGCCCCTTAATCGCCAAGGAATAAACAAAAGGACTGCCATCAGCAACCTCAAGACGCCGCGAGGCCCTCACTTGAATGAACTTCCCCACCTGCACAACAGCATTGGCATCAGCACCAGCATTATTAGGCCCCGCTGCACGCAGATGCAGGATAATAATTTTCATGATGGCTATGATGATGGGACTACGCGCATGCAGCAAAAGGCAAACCAAAAAGCAATGGCAGTCGCACGCACCTCACAACAATTCCACGACGAAAGGTTTGAATAACAATATATAAAATGCATCCTTGATAAATATACGTGTATTTGCAAATGCAAGCTAACAAGTAAGACACATTACACATGAATACTCGTGCGTGTGTAAGTACACACTTGTAACGAATCAAAGTCCCTAAACATGCTCTATACAATGCGCATAAATGCACACACACAAACATATATATATATATATATATATATATATATATATA